TCAAAGCCCAGCAATTTCATTTCACAGAAGGATACGACTTCACACTGCTCTGTATTTAGCTGCTATGCTGCAGCTCTGAATCTCTTACAGTTGCACTTTTAATAAAGATAAGTTCACTATAAACACACCTTTTCATGTTGTCCGTACTAAACCCCCCCCCCGGCTAGTACTCTGGGATGTATGCAACAAATGCACTATATGGAAGTCAATAGCTGCCAAATTCAACAGACATATTTGCAAAGAGAAATCCCTGGAAAGCCAGAAGGGGCCATGATAACCAAAAGTCTAAAAGCCATCGACCCTACTCATCCAACAAGCATATAGTATACTGGAACACACACGCATATGCATTGAAACAAACATTTAAATACACAGACATTTGAAAGTCTGAGCTATTAAATTCTCGATACTATGACAACACCAGGACTGTGTGACCCGAAGCAGTAAGTTGTGGGGTATATTTAAGTTCCCCACAATTCAGAAGCTCAAAAGCAGAACTTTGCTTACTTATCTGACCACACCTCTCTTTCCCCCTTGACGCCTCCTTCTCCCCTCACTGTTACACCCAATATGTGTGTGGGGTGTAAATCAGAGAGAAGTGCGCGTCGTGGACAGATCATCGATACGTATCGCTGCTCTCGTTCTCCAAGTGAAACGCGAGAGGATTGTTGAAGAGCCGGGCGCTGAGTCCGTGGAAATGATAACACTTCCATACAAAAGCGTGACATTCAACACGTGTATCTGGTAACTGGTGTAGGAGTGGGTGCATGTCGGATATGCATCACTCACAATGTCACAGCCAATCAGTTTTATATTTGTGGCATCCATAAATCTTTCCTCACTTATTAACCTATGCCTCTTTCAGGCCCCCCTCCCTGCACACACATCTGTTTATGGCTGTCTGAGAGGACACGCTGAATCAAAGGCATGCAGAGACACTGTGTGAAATGCGCTGATCTTCAACCTTCCTTTGTACTGGTAAACTGGTCCGAAAGGACAATATAAAGCAAGGACTGGGGGCTATATTTCACCAAGCTCCCTTTGGGGTTTCACAACAGTCCCGGAGATACAAAGATGGCTTGTTTGGCTTTATATACTTGTGTTTTATGTAAAAACGGGCCCTATATTTAATGAAATATACATCAAAGATCCCCATTTCCATATGTTAAAAACCATCAAATATTGCAATCTATTATACAACAAGAAATAGAATGGTGCAACAAAAAATCCAGCAGTTTTATTAAACCTTGTTTTCATTCATCTCCATTAAGGTTTGTGCCGTGGTTCTCAGTGACACACAGAGACACATTAACTCTCACATTAACACTCCCGAGGAACTGTAATATGAAGCAGATTAGATTACTTAGTCTCTCTAATTAAATTGAATATGTGTTACTCAATTGTAAACTTTTGCCAGCGGCGGGCAAACACTTCCCAAGTCTGACGTTTTTATCCAAAGTGACTTACAATATGAGCATTTCAACCAAGTATACAAACTCAAAAGAACAAGAAACAAGTGCAATTTCATCTAATAAGCTGATAATATAAGAGGAAACACGTAATGTTGGTCTAACGGAGTAATAACACATTAAATATAATTTGTAAAAAATCAATAGGGTTTTTACACAAAGTAGAGACACAAATTATTTTTAAAAACTTAGATTACAATCTAAAAATCCATCCATCCATCCATTGTCAAACCGCTTATCCTGCACACAGGGTCGCGGGGGGGCTGGAGTCCATCCCAGCCAACTTCGGGCGATAGACAGGGTACACCCTGGATTGGTCGCCAGCCAATCGCAGGGCTACACAGAGACAGACAACCATTCACACTCACATTCACACATCAAACGGGCAATTTAAAGTCCCCAATTAACCTGAATCCCAATCTAAAAATGTACAATTGTATTAATAAATGCACAGTAGCTGATGTTAGCCTACTTTGTGCAGCTAACAGCTAACTTCATTCTGCAACATTCATAAAACTTGCTGAAATCGGGAAACTGTCAGGTGGACATCTGAAGCAGTCCTCGTCCTTCTTGTTGCTCTTTTAAAGACACATAACTGGAATTTATTGAAACTCCTTCTGAAGATACACCTGGAGTTTATGCATCTTCGTACCTGGAGCACAGCTCTTCTTCAGGATGAAGGGGCCAGAGCCGTCGTGCCAGCTGCTAGATTTCTTGCCACGAACACCGTTTTCCTGCACAAAGAGCAGGAAGTGTGAAGTGTCTTCTCAGGAAAATTGAAAAATGAACAACATGATATTCTGCTACTCATTTCTGCACTGATGGAGAAAGTATTCAGATATTGTACTTTAGTAAAAATACATATATTAACACCACAACCTGCTGTAAAAACTGTTACTTCTTGAACAGTGAAGTCAAATTACACGCTTAATCGGACTGTACTGACAAAAAAACATCAAAATAAACCTTAAGGCCCAAAAGTCACGACTTAAAGTAGATGCAAAATATTTAACATCTTAATCTTTCAGGCATTCATGTGTTTATGTTTGTCTGACTTTAAACAATGCTGGTGGTTTAATCTTTATGGTGTCAATGACTCAAGCACATTGCTCTGGATTCTCATTTCTCAGAGGGAATGAGGATAAAGATGGTCAATTTGGAAGAAAGTTACTGACCAGTGAACTTTTTATATGAAACAAAATGTAGATGTTAAAGTTATAATTACTATCATCAGACCGTGTAGTGTGTATACTTGCTTTCCAGAGACAGCGGGATACTTTAAAAAAAAAAAAACAATTTGGCCAGCAGTTCTATATCAGCAAATGATCAATGAAAGCTTGACCTCCTCTCTTTAGATCAAGCGATCCTCATTTCCTTCACACACACTCACCCGCACACAGACAAAAAATATTCTGACCTTGTCAAACATCTCCAATTAAATAAAAGACATGGACTGATTTCATCTGTGAGCCCATGTGTGTGTTATTTTCTGTCCAAAAGTGTCCAAAGCATCTTTTAGGGGAAATAAGGGAACACAAAGGTTGTGTTGCCTAGCGTAAAATACATATGGCATTTAACAGGTTTTTTTTTGGAGATTCCACATTCAGTAGTTTAACACTAAACACAAATGGACATTTTTTAGGCTGTTTGATCAGTATACAATATTGCAGCCTGTGTAAATTGTTTGTTCATTTGTTTGTGTAGATCCCATTCCTGCTGAGTTACGTTAACGTGGGTGCAAACGCAGGAAGGAGCTTGATCTGATTATATAGAGAGATGACCTCATGCTTTATTCCCTTCTCCCCGGCACCCCCTCCTGCCACACCCCAGCCCTTGCTATCGCAGCACATCCCATGGCAGCATGACAGCTTGACCAAATTAGCTGTCAATGCAACCCTGTAATTCCCAAAAGACTATGTAATTTAATCAGACAGCTATAGCCTACAGCAGAGCTCTATCACGCTCACACACACACATACAAACACAATGGAACAGAATCACATTGTATAACACAAGTTATTCAGTTAGTGCCACAACAAAGAATTAAACAGTAAATTTAGATTCAGCATTAAAAAAATAAGAAACAGAGAGAAGAGACATAAATGATCTCTAACTCTGTAGTTTTAGATCTTAAAAAACTGAAACTATCATATTTTTAAATGTTCTATAATATGTCAAAGTACTCGATTGCATTTCTTCTTTTGTCTAGAGGTGAGAAACTTTGACTTACACATTCCATTCCATTTATATTTCAGTTACTGTTTGTGCTTTATCAGTTGTGACAGACTTTCAACTGGATTAAACTGAATGAAGCCTAATCCCAATCAGAACAGATTAAATTACCCAGATCACTATAATAACTGGATTACACAGACTCCCCCTGCCTCAAGATACCCCTGTCTTTTTTAAATAATCTTACCGCACACACACACACACACACTCCAAGACAAACTGACAGAAACACTATCCGAACTGGTTACATGATGGAGAAGAGGAGGAATGAGAAAGAAATTGAAAAATGTATTGTAGAGGTGAAAAGAGACATCGCAGAAAGAGCTGGCAATCACGTCTTACTGCAAACACGAATGACTTGTGTGTGCAATGTGCGTACTTGTTTGTGTTTGTCTGGCTTCCTGTTTCTGTTCGTGTGGACGCACTATCGTGGCATTTGTGTGTGAAAACCACACTGCTGTCTGGGGAGACTGAGGAATTAAATTGTCATTAACGTAATTAAATGCAAAGGTCCACACATGCATGCACAGTGATAGGGAGTAGTGTGACTAACACAGTGACACAGTTAACAAAGGCCCAACTGTTTATAACAACATGAATATTCATCACAGCGAGAGAAGGTGAGTTTAGCTTTGTAAAGCATTATCTGTCATCTACTGTATCCTCATCCAAATATAAGGCAAACATCAGCTTTAGAAAAAAACAACATATATTATTAATAGGAGAATATGTAGAGGCCATGCTGTCACCAAAAAATTATTTAAAATATTTCCTCATGGGTAATTTGACACAGAAATAATTATGGACACAATAATTTCAAAACTGTTTAATCAAGCAGTGAAATAGAAACCAGCACACATCTTATCCAGCTTTTTTTGTGCTTTTATTTTATTTTATATAACGAACTCATTTGAATTGGTGGAAATGTATAATTTGACTGTCTCTATTTTTCTAGAACAATTTTATAGCTCTTTTCTGGAAAATGTTCAGATATTGAAATTGAGTTAAAATTTATGTTAGAACAGGAATTGTCACACGTTATCGTTTTTAATGTAAATATAGAATCCTCATGCAGCAGGATCACCAAAAGTGCACTTGCAGTATGAGAGTACCTGTGTCTGTACCGCAGTGCTACCGGAAATGACCAGGCGGTGGCAGTAAACACCGATTTAATTAGGCAAACCACAGTAAGGCGTGTCAGACCAACGCACCTCAACAGCCCGCCTCTTACCACCTCTGATTGGCTGTTTCTCTTAGCCTCAGCCAATCCTCTTTCTGATTGGATAACGTCACTGCCCGTCATCGTTGACAGACGTCCACACGGCTAGCTGTTTCAAAAATGAAACTGGCTCGTGTCTGACTCCTGTATTTCAACGGCAACCCGAAAGGAAAACGAAAGCAAGACGGGTGTTAACTTATTAAAACCACAAAAATAAATCCCGTGGTCGACCGTTCGGTGTGACACAGCGGAGGTGGAGGAACACCGGCGGTACGTACTCGGTGACATGTCTGTGTGAGAGGCCTTCGCTGTCAAACCGCCACAACAACAACAACACCTGAATGGCTTCTCATGTGTTGCCTCCGTGCTTTAACGTGTCTCTTATTTCACCCGACGGACAGCTTCTTTTTTTGTTTATCTCGTTTGGGTTTGGGCGCTTCCTCGATAAAGACCCGTCCTGCGGTATGTTATGGTGCCAGATAAGACTAAAGAAAATGTCTTTTCTTTTTCTCCCACAGCTGGTAATGTCGAGTAAATACCAGATCTGGACAGGACGTACTGTGCTGCAATGGGGGTAAGGTAATTCCTGAAACTGACACACACCACAGCTCGGTTTTGAAACCGTGAATGTAGGTTAGAAGTGATCTGTGTGTGTTTCCACCCACAGTAACGACTCAAGTGTGTAATGATTGTCCCCGATCAGTGGTGTAGTCACTGTGTTTAAGGACAGTCATCACACCCAAAAATGTCTTGAGTTGATTCAATCTTAATCAGTGGAGTCCCAGGATTTGGGTTGGTTTAATAGTTAGTTCAGTCTAAACGAGGAGGGTAGCAGCAACGCAAAGTTACACACAAGATACTCATTTTAATTACTCCAAAGAGTATGTTGTTGGACCATTGACTATTTCTAAGAACATCAGTCACAAAGAATAATTTTCTATGCCTATGGGGCACATTTGCATACATCTACCCCCTCCCAATCTAGTCTTGTGTGAATATGGTGCAGTTGCATTTGTAAGAGGAGACTGCCCTTCATCAAGAAGCCCTTTGTCCGCAAGAATTGTGCTGGAGGGTTTGCTGCTCTGATCTGTAACTGATCACCTCACCTCTGCTCTGCCCTCTGACGGATCAGGTATATTACCATTCAGTCGTGAATAAATCAATCGAAATAGTAAGGCTTCAAAAAAGGCTATGGCCTGTAACACAAGCTTTCCATAATGTAGAAAGTAAGTGTCAAATGAGTTAATTATGAACATATTATGAGATATGTATCATTTCACTCCTTTCTCCTCATTTCTCCCTGCCATTCTGTGCGCTGTAGTCTGTAGCGGTGGCCTCAGCTACTTGGTGAGACTGAAGCAGCTGTGACTATGGCGCACTTTGACACAGAGTACCAGCGCCTGGAAGCGTCCTACAGCGACTCTCCCCCTGGAGAGGAGAACCCGCTGATGCACGTACCAGAGGGAGCTAAATGTATGAAACAAATCCTGCCATTATCACACTCAGAAACACACCTCCCTCTTTTACACTGATAGTGATGATTAACAACAACGCTGATCCTAACTTTTTAATAAATGTTTTGCAGCCCAGTGGCACCATATAGAAAACCTGGACCTGTTTTTCCAGAGAATATCCTTCAACATGGATTTGGCATGTATTCCATATGTTTTGTCTCCTGAACAACCCTGACACATACAATGTGCTTCTTAGATTTTGCACGGTGAAAGTTTTAACAGGGTTTCTAACCTCTGATACCTTTTATAATATTCCTTAACATCAGTTACGTTTATAATCTGCACCAGAAGAATGGATTCACCTGTATGCTGCTGGGGGAGATCTTTGAGCTTGTGTACGTACCCTTTCTATCAGGAACTGTGTTTTTAATAGACTCTTGTGTGTGTGTTTGTAGGAAGTTTGTATATGACGGAGCTTGATGTTGTATGTTCTCTTCTTCTCTCTTTCTCCATGCAGTCAACTGCTGTTTGTGGTTGGCTTCACGGTGTTCCTAGCTAACTGTGTGGACTATGACATACTCTTTGCCAACAAGTTTGTAAACCACACTGATTCATCGAAGGTCACCTTGCCCGATGCCTTCCTCCCAGTGGATGTGTGCAGTGCCCGGTGAGTGTGTTGGTTTCTTCTGCAAAGAAGCACCGTCGTGTAGTTGAGAATAGGGGTGATGATTGTGTTGGTGAAATAAGAACAATCCACATTAGTATTTCTGAAGTGTGCTGTTGGGTATATACGTATTTGAATCATAAAAGTTAATATCTTCTTCCGCAGTATCCGAGATAACGCGTTTGTGATCTTCGTGTTAATCATCTCTGGGGTGTTTTGGCTCCATCGCCTAGTCAAATTCATTTACAACGTCTGCTGCTACTGGGAGATACGAGCCTTCTACATTAATGCACTCAAGATGACCATGGTGAGACGGGTCTAGACACTGAGTATTTTATTATCTGGGGTTGTATACATTCAATGTACCAACTGCCTGCTTCTTTCATTTCAGTCAGAGCTTCCCTATGCAACATGGCAGGAGGTTCAGGCCAGGATAGTGGAGATCCAGAAGGAGCACCAGATCTGCATCCATAAAAAGGAGCTGACGGAGCTCGACATTTACCACCGCATCCTCCGCTTTAAAAACTACATGGTTCGTCCCCTTCTGATGACATGTTGACACCGCTGTTTGGTCTCTGAACTATTTGTCTGATGCAGCTACCTGCACACATTACGAAAGAGTGTGACCTCAAACCAAAACGTTCTTGCTATACTTGTCAAGGTTGCCATGGTGAATAAATCGCTCCTTCCTGTGCGATTTCGACTTCCGGGACTTGAGGAGTCTGTGTTCTACACCCGCGGTCTCAAATACAACTTTGAGCTTATCTTCTTTTGGGGGCCAGGTGCGTTCATGTTGGTGATGTGATTCATTTTATATCTACATAAGGTTTTTGTCTTTCTATTGTGTTGATAGTTGATTATTAACTTAAGAAGAAAGGAGGAGGAGGTCTCTCCAGTGATTATTGCAGGTCAGCAGACAGAAATTGTCCAGTCAAATAAATATCTAGGGGTCTATCTGGACAGTAAACGGAAACACTGATGGTTTATTTTAAAAAGGCTCAGTCCACAGTTTTCCTCTTGAGGACGCAAAGATCCTTTGACATCAGCAGAAAGGTTCTTCGTGTTTTCTACCAGGGGATCTTAGCTTGTGTCCTTTTCTACGCTGTGCTCTGCTGGGCCGTTCTACTGAACCATTCAGGAGGTCCTTCAAGAGATCTTTCGTTCCAGCTGCAATTAGATTTTTTTTTTAATGAACACCTTTCGATCATGTTTCATTTGGCACTGTGGACTGTCCTTTATTGTCTCTATATTCTGGTCGCAGTTGAATTTCCCTACTGGGGATTAATCAAGTTTTTTACAATTCAGTATTATCAGGTGAAAGGAACCATTTGCATGCCCACACCCATATATTTGTCTATTTGTCAAGGTTTCCAATTACAAAGGAGCATCCTTTTGACTCGCCCTGTGTGTTTTCTCGGTGGCTCTGCAGGCTCTCTGTTTGAGAACGAATGGAGCCTGAAACCCGAGTACAAGAGAGGAGGTAACAGGCTTGAGCTGGCAGACCGGCTAGCCTCCAGAATCCTGTGGATTGGGATCGCCAACCTGCTGCTGTGTCCCGTCATTCTGGTGTGGCAGATCCTTTATGCCTTCTTTAGTTATACGGAGGTAAGCGCTTCACATGCACACGTAAACCGTATCCCATATCTCTTCTCATTTAGTGCTCTCTAGACGATAGCTTCTTGTGACTTTGGGTCTAGGTGATCAAGCGAGAACCTGGTTCCCTCGGAGCGAGATGCTGGTCTCTGTACGGTCGATGTTACCTGCGGCACTTTAATGAGTTGGATCATGAGCTCATGTCACGCCTCAGCAAAGGATACAAGGTCAGATAAGACAGCAGCTCATCTCTTGCAATCAGTCGATGAATTCAAATACATGTCAACAATAATATGGTTCAGTGTGACTTTCGTCTTATTACTCATACTGGTGCTAATCATCAACTGCTTGTAAAGTTATTATTAAATCTGCTTCTTCCCTTTTTTGTTCTTCTTACTTTGTTTCCATCAGCCGGCATCCAAGTATATGAACTGTTTCCTCTCACCGCTGCTGACGGTGGTTGCCAAAAATGTAGCGTTTTTTGCCGGGTCGCTTCTGGCTGTCCTCATCGCCCTGACCATCTATGATGAGGATGTTCTCTCAGTGGAACATGTTCTGTCATCGATCACACTGCTTGGAGTGTGTATCACAGTCTGCAGGTAGTGGATCAATGTCACCCAGTCAGTCTGTTGGCTTTTTTTCATCCAACGCCCCCCCAAAAAACACTCCAGCATTTAATTAACAGCCAAAGGAATAATTTGATGATTAGTTTGTGTAATCTAACAACAATTGTGGTTCAATTGGAAGGGGAAGCAGGGGTGGATTTGGCAGTGGAGAAACTACAATAGTTCAAACATATTATAACATTGCTGTTGTTTGCCTTTAGTTATTACCATAGTCATTCTAAAAACTCATATGACATGGAAAACGTAGGAATCAGAATATTAGACACAAATCTTCAACCGTGTGGGATATCCGGGTTGTTATCCATCATCCATTTCTTTATTGCCCTTTTGAAGCTACCTAGACATGTAATCCCCTTAATGCTCCCCTGCAGCTAATTCTTCTTTATAAAAGCTGAGTATAAGAGGGTTTCCTTCCGTAAGCAGCCTCAACAATTTGAAGTCTTTTAATAGCTCTTGATCAGATATTAGGGAACGTTCCCATTAATTGACGTGTTTAAAGAAAATACAGTTATATCTATCTAAACATATATATATATATACATATATATATATATATATGTATATATATATATATGTATATATTAGTATGCTGAACCCATCACGCATTTCACAGGTAGATTCTGAACTATATGATTATTTATGAAGCACGTTGCCACAAAATAGCACAATATTTACCATTGATTTTGAACATCTTAAGTTGTGAAACTTAAATTATTTTCCACCACTTCTGTGTCTCTGTCTCTTCAGATCGTTTATCCCTGATAAGCACATGGTTTTTTGCCCTGAGCAGCTGCTGAGGGTGATCCTGGCGCACATCCACTACATGCCTGACCACTGGCAGGGCAATGCACATAAATATGAGACTCGTGACCAGTTCTCCCAGCTCTTCCAGTACAAAGCAGTGAGTATGGATACTGAACTGTGAATACATATCAAGAGCAATAACAAGGGAAGTAACTTATCAAAATGTTGTTATTTACATGGTAACATATCATAACATGAAATACATTAAGTGTTATTATCCACATTATGGATGGGTGTAGTACATTTATATGCCAATTTCTGTTCCTCTGCTAGTGTGTAAACTGGCTCGTGGACATGGCTGTCTGGGAGAGTTATAAATGCATTCAAGCCATCATTAATGTTATTACTAACATCTGTACTGCTTTTACTTTGACGCTCAAAAGGCAGACGCTTATCTTGTCAATATTGTCGATGTATTTCTATAACCGCTATTTATCTAGAGCTTCCTTACTTTAATGCTGAGCTTTACCCTTGTTCCGTTACCTGCATTTATATCTAAAGAGTAGAACTAAAGATTTCTGCTTGACAAGAAGATCCACTGAAGCAGCACAGCCTCAGCCGGTCATAGTACGCCCCCGGATTGTTCCAGCTTTTGGGATTGTGAATCTTAAATGATGAAGCCAGTTCCCCAATATTTCAATCAAAACAACTTATGACTTAGAGGTTCAGCATACCTTTGATGTGATTGATAATATCCTAAACGGCTACCAGAGTGTACAGCGACAACCTTTTTCCTCTGTTTTCCTCAAGGTGTTCATTCTGGAGGAGCTGATAAGTCCAGTGGTGACGCCCATCATCCTGATCTTCTGTCTGAGGAGGAAGTCCCTGGAGATCATTGACTTCTTCAGGAACTTCACAGTGGAGGTGGTCGGGGTAGGAGACACTTGTTCGTTTGCCCAGATGGACATCAGGCAGCATGGACACCCTGCGGTAAGGGACGGACTCATTAAGTGCAGCCACACAGACATACTGAAAGACACTAAAGATGAAGACAAACTTGGAGGTACTAAAATGAAGTGTCTGTGGTATACGTGTAGCCTTACCCCTTCTCCTCCCTCTGCAGTGGATGTCTGCAGGCAAGACCGAGGCGTCTATCTATCAGCAGGCAGAGGACGGGAAGACCGAATTGTCTCTGATGCACTTTGCCATCACCAACCCCCAGTGGCAGCCTCCACAGGAGACCACACACTTCATCAGCCAATTGAAAGAGCGAGTGCACAGAGAGGCCGCGGGGGCCTCTTCTGACACACATCCACTCTCACTGTCCGAGTCTGAGGTACAGTGATAAACCGACATCCGTGCTTCAGTATCGCAGTGGTCTGACGTGAGGATTTGAGTTACTCTCTCGCCCTTTCTCTCTCTTGCAGCCAAGGAGCCTTGTTGCAAACCTTTTGGCGGGTCCCTCCACGCTGACTTCCATTCATTTTGGCCACGATAGCTCTCTGACCAATCAAGCTGGCCTGAGTGATGGAGCGTCTGCCTTACGCTCCCTCTCCCCAAACAGCGGTAGTCTTCACCTGAGAGGCAGCTTAAATGCGGCTCACACGTCAACAATGAGCAAAGCAATGGCGGGCTCCGGGTGAGTACATTCTCCTTCTGAGTCAGGCCCCAACTCCATTACATTTTAGGGCGACATCTGTCTGTGCAACAATCTAAAGGAGATTTTTCATTATAACCTAGTTCCCAGTTTAAGTTATGATCAATACTCACTGTATGTTTTGTCATCCATAGCCCTCCTCTTCATATCCACGTTCTCTCCTTTTTTTGCCTTCTCCTTCCATAGAACGGATGCCCGGACCGTGAGCTCAGGCAGCAGTGCATGGGAGGGTCAACTCACCAGTTTGGTCCTGTCAGAGTACGCCTCCACTGAGATGAGCATCCATGCCCTTTACATGCATGAGGTAATTGTAATTAAAAAGAGAGCATGGGTGGGAACACAGTAGAGGACTCTGTGGCATGCACAAAACTGAATGACGTTTCTATTGCCTACATTTGACTTCTCATCCTGAATATCTCAAGAGATCTTCTCCATTTTTGATCCTGCCCATTCATCCTCAGATTTCTTATCTTCCCCGTAGCTACACAAGCAGCAGTCCCACGGCGAGCTATCCCGTCACACATGGCACAGACAGGACAGTGACGAAAGCAGCGACAGCATCCCTGACGAAGTGAGGAGTGAACCCAACCCCAGACATTTCCCCCGCTCACACACCTTCCCCACCACAGTTCCAAGTCCCAGTGCCATTCCCACGTCAGCCTCGTGCATGAGCAGTACCACACTGGGCCAGGAGGGGGCGGCATCAAACCGCATCGGCCAGCAGGGTTTCACTAATTCCAGCTCCGGTAACTATCTTTTTGATTATCTGTCACTTTTGTGCCACACAATAAGCCCATCATCCACACATTCTTCTTGAGAGCTGAAATGAATCCCGCAGTAAGAATACTGACTGTATGTTTCTGATATGGCCGCAACAGTTCAGGTCAATAGACCAAATATATTTAAAAAATACAATACATTTCAGACATAGACATGAGATGACCAAGTATTGCAGTATGTAAGAAACAGATGCTTGCTAACATCCATCAGCTTTCAGAGTAATTTGTGATTTGTTTAAATCATTACATTACATGTCATTTAGCCAACACTTTTATCAAAAGCTACTTACAATAAGTGCATTTCAACCATAAGGATACAAACCCAGAAGACAAAGAAACAAGAAAGTGCAATTTCATCAAATATGCCGATTTGCAACGTGCTATAGATAAGAGCTATTTTAAGTACAATTAAAGTGCTGCAATTTGTTTTGTGTTTTCCTTCATTCATCTCCTGTGATTTTCGACTGTACTGTCTGGGTCCTCCGGTTTTCCAGACTCTTTCGGTGCGAGGGGGAGAGTAGTGAAGTCGGCCCGCGGTGTGCCCATGGGAGGGTGGGCAGAGGAGGGTCAGGCAGCACGACGACACCACGAGACACTACCAGAGGAGAGCTCCGAGGACGATATGCCACCTCACATACACAAGGTGAATGCTGTTTGTGTGTGATTGGAAGGGAGATGTTATTTTGCGTGATGACACTGCAAGTAAATACTATATATTTTGTTCCTCCTCTCTCTTCAGATTACATAACCAAGTTATGTGAATGAGTATCAGCGTCCCACAACTCCACAGATATCCAGGGACGCGTCCTCCACCAAAACCTTTTTCCGGGCCTTACCACCTGATCGGACACGTATGGAGCTGGACATATGCAAGAGCAGTCTGCCATGAAACCTACAAACCACGTAACCGAATGAAAGATACTATACCACAGACTGCATGCCTGAATAGGCAAACAGGGTAAATATCTCAATTGTGACCAGAAGAGGACCTACAGGATCAAGTTGTTTCTAAAATCTTGGCTATGCGCTTTTATAATGTCGAAAGATTACATGATGAAAGTGCATGTATTACTGGGGTGTAAATTAACTTGTCAACACTTCATCCTTTGCACTATGCCACTGTTGAAAAATACATACCAAGTTGCTCACAATTTGATCACAATAATCACAATTGTGCTCTCTGTATTTGTCCTTCTCTTACTACTGCTTTAGTACACAAGTAAAATTTGCAGAATGTTTGGTATCTCTCTGACAATAGCGTACCACGTTGGCTTTCATTGTGTCAATCTGTTGTACCTGTAGCGGGACGCTGTGCTCTGTCTTTCAGCTGGCGCTCCGCCTCTTTGCAAAACATATGAAGGCATCTAATAGTAACAAAACCTGACATTTTTGTAATAAGATTTTAACTGTGAGGGACTTGTTTCTTTCTTTCTACATGAATTGCATAACACAATTTATGTGAATTCAGTCTGGCTCAGTTTGCACAGATTCTTGTTCTAAACATAATTGTACAGCGTAGCCTGGTAGTCATGCATACTGTGCACTGTGTAGATAAATATCATCAGGTGACTTCACACAACCATCATATAGCATATTTAATTGATCAAATGTAGACGATTAAAAGGCCAACATGTTGCAATGTGTATGTATCGATACGTGATTAACGAAAAACAAACTAATCGGTTGCAACAACAGACCTTCACCTGACAAACACTATTCAATTTTTCACCATTCATTAATTTCAACAGACTTGCGAAGGGGCGCAGCAGAAAGACAAGGTTACTTTGAGCATGTGCATTGACTTCTGTGCCAACCCTAACCCATACAAAATACCCTCTAGCACAAGTGCATGACCACCATAAACCCATTCTTCTAAAAAGTTAGAATTCATCCCCAAGAAGAATGACCATCCTCCACTTCCTGTTAATCAACTTTCCCTCATTTTCCTGTCATTAGGCCACAGTTAATCAAAAAAATAATTATACAGGTTAATAATCTGTTAATGGAGAGGGTGTCACTTAACTAGGATTATTTGTAAGTATGTTTTCGTATGTATGTACAGTATATTTTAATTATTTTATTTATCAAAGGGATGTGCCATGATGATTGACCTTTGACAATAAAGGTTGGGTTTTCTGCTCTTGGTTAGGGATGAATAAGTATATTGATATGGTAAAGTATCCATTGCTTCAGTGCACTAATGTTTGATTCGTGATACATATTTTTTTATACATCTTGTCGAATACAATTTTGTACAGCTGTAAATTCCTCCATTAAAAACAAGACAATGACGCTATGCTACATTATTTTGTGTGTAGACTAAAGGAGCAACTACCAAGACACAAATAATACGGATAGAAATTGATCCATATTTTTGTTGCCATTCATATTTTGCGTTTGCTAAGTAAAAATGACATACAAATCAGTATCGCTATCGAGCTATTTTGGCATTCCTTTTGTCCGTTTATTGCAATCAAACCAATGAAAGTTCTCTTTGGTTTGGCTTTATGCAGCAGTAATAAACTAGCCGGGCTTGATAGACACAGGGAAATGAAACAAGTATTTACTTAAGCAGAAGGTCGCAAGTAAATGGCTCCGTTAAGGAGACGATCCCCTACTCCTCCCGTGTGTCTCACACAAAGACACTATAACCACAAATGGTCCCGTAAAGGGATGTATGTATTTAATTGAGGTACATATTTGAGATGTCGAAGCCCGGATAGCTCAGTCGGTAGAGCATCAGACTTTTAATCTGAGGGTCCAGGGTTCAAGTCCCTGTTCGGGCGAACTTTTCTTCTGGACATTTCCGGATGTTTCCGTACGTAGGTAAATGCTCTCACGTGAATTATACATTTCTGAGACGGGAGTTTGGAAGCCGAACAATTTATATTATGATACATTCTTAGTTGGGCCTGGGATAATCCAGAGGTAGTTCTCAAAAGATTTCCATTGTCATGGTTTTATTAAGTCTAACGTGAATGTTGGTGACTTGCACAGTTTTTCAGACATATTTATTCGCAACCATATCTAGTTGCCATAATCTGCGCTGTGCAAACGCCATGCAAACTCATCAGCCCGTAGTAAACCTCGGAAGAATCAATTTCAAAACAATGAAATGGATGGATATATGGTTTGTAATAGCTGATTCTGATTGGCCAAAAGATCCGTCAATCTTGACACACTTCTTTTATTGGTCAACTCGATACTACTTTTTGAATGATGTTCAAGATGTTTGAACACATTTCAGCAAAGCCCACACCATTGGCTGAATATGTAAAATGGAGTCATTTCATTGGCCCGTCTGCTCAGGGCAACTCGATAAGGGCGGAGCTACGACAACTTGGCGGCCATGTTGAATATTATCTGTTGACAGTTGAGTCTAAAGAAAGCTCCAAGATTTTGTTTTAGCCAACTTATGCTACAACTAAACGTCTGTTGTGCTTTTAAATGTAATCCGGCTTTATGTCCTGAACTTTTAATGGTTTGATTCAAGTCAAGAGATGGATGACGATGAACGGCAGAGGAAACTACAGGCTGGAAGAGCGAAGGTTTGTTGCTAACGTTTAACGCACGCTAAGGCTCAATGCTAGCGGTCAACGATGGCCAACTCTTTTGTCATAGCTTAACGTTTGTCCACTTCGGAGAAGAGTGTGACGTTAGTAAACAAAGGAATTAGAATTTGGTTTGGCCGTCGCCTAGATTCTATTTACCCGTTTAACTACATGACACGTTACTCTTAACGGCATTCGTTTGCCGCGCATATTCCGCCAGTTGATCATTAGCTGAGGTTTCGCACAGCAAACGATAACAATAATATTGGTACTGCAGTGAGAGTAACCGAGTAATGGGTTGAATCGCTTTCTAGTTCATATAAGTTACACTGAGTCCAGCAGACACCGCACGTTTCTGCAGGGACGAAGGGAATGTGTTACTGTGTCTTACTTAGTTTCCGTTTCAGCCTTGAAAACAATAAAATGACAATTCACAATCCCAAAGTTGCTAACGTTGCATGTTGACCTTTCACGCTATTTTCTTCTAAGCTTCCCACTGCTTTTAAAAATATATAATATATATCTTCTAATACGTAAAAGTGCATTTGGAGCGTTGCTACTTTGCTGTTTCGATGAAAGTAAACATTTAGCAGCTGTTTTTCCATATTAGCAATGGGTCAATGATTACCAATGGCCTCCGGCCACGTCCTTTAAGAACTAGGTTCCCTTCCAGCTTATTGTAGAAGTCCTAAATAATGCATATGTGTTACATCAATAGGATGCATAATACTTGGGAAGTAACTGAACTGAACCACTTATATTCCTTATAACAGAAATCCTCCAATATTTCCAGAACGCAGTCGGTAAGTATAGAATCGGGTGACTGACCGAGCCATTTCGCTTTGCCATGGGATTATGGGTTAATGGAGAGTATTTCTTTGTGATTTAGGTCTTCTTGCATTTAGTTTAGTTCTTTCTCGGGTGGGCAATCAGTGCTTTTCTTCTTCCTCTACGCGCCAGCTGACACAATTGCTGTCAGCTTTTGAGATTTAGATATACAGATCATCAAGACTGCGACCCTGGAAGGAAATCATGTTAAGCATTTACAATTACACTGATTTAGTCTTTGTTATGCACCTTGCATTAACTGCCATGCTAGTTGCAGGCCATCAGGTGGTGCAGTGAGCCCATGAGATTTGGCAATGTTCAACATGTGCTTGCATCTCACATGAATGGTGTTGCTATGGTAATGCAGGGCTGTCAATTGCCTTTACTGCATTCGGTGCACCACATAGCTCGGATTTTATGTATGTTATGTTTCCCTCTGGAAGCAAGGCATATATATGTATACACATTCTACAGACATAGACAAAAAAACACATAACATACTGTGAGAAAAAGCATTCAGCAGTGCAATAACATCTGATGTGGCCACAAAATGATCCATCTAGTCAGACTCTGGGTAGTGCAGAAGCGGCCTTGGGCTAAACAATGCTCATCTGGATAATATGTCTTCCGAGCATGTGACGCGTGTTGTTGCTGGCAGAGGCGGTGAGCATGGTGACGGAAGAACGAGATGGCTGGGGTTTGAAGTGATAGTGGACACAAAAGAAGATGAACAATGGGAGGTGGGAAGATTTTTAAGTGTGGTGGTGTTGTGAGGGAATGATCGTTCAAATGTGTATATATAACGGGCATATAATAAGTGATCGCAATAAAGATTGGCCCATTGTCTCATGCACACAGTGATGTCATGCACATGCATGTGACTCATCACGCAAAGAAACAAGTAGCGCTCGCCATATCATCTCTATTTGATTGGAGCATGCACACACCGATCCTGCTCGCCACAGACACACACACAGCCCTGTCTCCTCCTCTACATGTAAACGCATCTCCCAGTCTCCACCCACTTCCATGAGCCTAGACACATGCCAGCCCCTGTCCAGAGTTGGTGGATACCTCTGCACTGGACGAGGCTGTGGCAGGGAGTTTTACAATGAGAAGATTCAATGCTTGGTGCTGTTGCCCTCCGATGGCAAGATCTACATCTGGACAGTAGAGCAACTGCCCTGATAAGGAGGAATTGGCAGGTCCGAGCACCAGCAAGAAGATTGACTGTCGGTTATTGATGCAGGGATTCAGGAGGGTCTTTCACAATGTGAACTGCTGTAATCTGATTTAAGCTGCTTAAAGAAGAGAGGTCGGGCTGAGAGGGGGGGGAGAGAGACACACATGGATAAAAAGGAATTTGTTGCAAAGAGAAACTGTCTTGGATGGATTTGTATTGTGACATCTTTTGGAAGTAATGTTTTTCACAGTGAATTAACTTTTTGCGTTCAAATTCTTAAGAGATTTTTTTTTCTTCCGTCATATTTTCAGAAAGGACTTAGTCTTCAAAAAAACCTGCAGTCAACCAGTTTTCACGTCTCTTCCTTTTTGAGTTTTTCTACTTTGCCAGAACATAAAAAGACCGAAATGGATGCATACTTAAAAAAAAATCTTTTAAACCTCTTTCTGTTACTGCCGTGCTGAGAGGCTGTCCAATGTGTGTCACTAAAACCTGCACTTCTCATGGGTTTGCTTTAGCTCTCTGGAGATTTGAGAATATTTAGCATCGTCCCCTCATTTTAAACTCTTGATTCTTTGTCACGCAGTGGTGTAGCCTATTTTGGGAAGGTGTTTGGGTTTTTCTTCCTGCTTCATTGGGAACCGTCTTCTTTTTCGAGGGGGGCTGCAAAACTGACTCATCAGAAATAGGGGCTTCCAGATCTAGTTTCTATTCCACAGTGGGGACTATCCACAACTTGTACCCCTGATGGATTTTTACTTTGCATGATGATTTTAAAGCTTTTTCTACTGAGGAGATAAATCTGGATTCCAGTTCTCTCTCACCCGCCACCCCTGAGCTTCACCATGCTGATTGTGTGGTGGTGCTCGGTGGTCCTGACCTATGTGTCCGTCTACCTCTCGCTGTCCTTCCTGCGCAGCTTGCTAGCTTCCGACAGAAGCGGGCGAAAGGCGACGGTACGGGGGCGCCGAAAAAGACGCAGAAGAGGAAGGGCCCGACTGTCCCGCAGAATGACGGAGCAACGCAAGGCCGCCACGTAGAATCAAACGTTTCCTCGGCCAATGACAACGGGCCGGACAAGGAGACCAACCATGAGGTACGTTCAGATTATCAGTCATGCGTCATTAATACAGTTGCAGAAGAGACAAAGGTTTTTAATTAACGGCTGGTCATTTTCATAGCACCAATTGCTTTACTGGATCAGTCAGGACAGGGCGGGTCACATGGCCTGACCTCCAATTTTGCTCACTGTATGTTTTAACAAGTGGTCCGTGGTTCCTGCTCTGTTAACATACATTATAAAAATGGGTCACTAACCATTACTTTGCCTGCGGGGCATGTTGTCATAGCAACGTGGTCAGGATCAACTGTGGCATTGACTGCCTTTTTTAAAGGGAAAGTTCACCCGCAACATTAGATTACACATGGACTGCAATGACTTGAAGGAAGTTAAATTCTAAAACTATTTAACCCTTTAGGGACCCCAAAAGCAACAACCGAAGGATCCGCCCCCCACTGTGGAGCAAAGCCTGTCCCCTCTGAATGATTTTAGAGAGGGTGAACTGGCTGCACTCACCGGCAAAGAGCAGCTCAAGGTATAAAAAGTGTATTTAATCATTCACACAGGATAAGGATTTTTTTTGGGTGGGGCAATTTTTATAGTCCATGTTGAAACATATCCTTTGAATACTTTAATGTCTTCTTTGTAGTTCCTTTTGACTTTATCTGTCTGTTGTCAACAATTCAACTGGTCTTGGGTTTGATTCTATGACTATCAAAAGGGAAGCATGAAGGTTGGATGTCGTGAAATGCACACATGGTATTATAATCTTAGGCTCTGAATTCTCACATCGGAAACTGGTGTCTGAACTTATTCTATTAATCTGTGTGATGAAGGGCATTGAGATTTGTTTGGACTAAATTGTCTAAATTATTTATTTACCCAGAAATGTGTGTGTGTCATCAGCAACAACCAATTGGGAATGTAACTGTCTGCTCTTCTGCATTGCTGCTTGGCTTCCCCCATCTAAAAATACAGCTTGCTCCTTTTATATTATGTATGTGTTCAGAGGAATGGGTTTAAACCAGGTGTTGTTGGTGTTTTAAACTGGAAATGTTTTGAAATACCTTAAATTATTAATTTATTCCTGATCGTCACTGTGTCAAAATACCTTTTTTTTTTAATATTACATATTGTCATAATCTAAAGACTAAAGAAAGCATCCTTAAAATTAGCACATCGATTTGATAGGATTTTTAATGAAAAACAGAATAATCAAAATCACCATTCCGTATTGAATTTCCAACATACAATATATGTCATATTTTCAATTGGATGTATTTTTAAACCATTGGGATGAAGTCCTTTTTGATAGTTTATGATTTTTAATGAGGAAATCTATTTCTAAGTATTTGGTATTTATGTGGATGTCAATGCTTGTAAGAAAATCCCCTCCCATAAATGTTTTGTACTGTCAGCAGCTGCAGCAGGCTGTGGAGAAGCGTAATGAGATCATTGCCCGGCTCAGCTCCAACCTGCAGGAGGCCCTAGCCAGCAGAGACCAGGTACAACTGGAGGCACAGTCACTTACTGGGCAGATTCAGGCGCTACAGAGACAGCTCCAGCAGGTACGTGCCACTCAAAGCTAAACCTGTGACCGAGTCACTATTCATGTGTTCTGAACTTGCTGAATTGTCTCTCACACAGACCAGCGTAGAATTTTTGCGCATCAAAAATCAGTCGGCGGCTGAAGTCCTCCACGCCCCACAACAGCAACGGCATGGCCATTGCTCCCAAGATGCTGACTCCCACCATAAGGAGGCCCAAATGGAGGAAACTGAGTGTGCAGGACCTGGGTTCCAGTCAAGTGTTGAAGGCCTTGGCAAGGAGGGCGAGACCAGCCCTGTTATCCTCAAATTGAGGGCCGAGCTGGAGGAAGAAAGGCAGAAGAGCCAACGCTTGTATGCGGAACTGGTGGAGGAGATGGAGAAACACCAACTTGTGCTTTCTTCACTGGAAAAGGAGAAGGAGGACAGGGAAGACGAGCAGAAAGAAAGGCTGACGCAGCTACATAACCTTCAGGCCCAGTTGAGCTCGGTCCAAAGTCAGTGCCTTGAGATGCAGCAGTACAAGGAGGAGAAGGAGAAGCTGAACAGAGAAGTGCTCGAGCTGAGGAAGAAACTTCAGGAGGAGGACGACCACGCAGAGAGGAGATCTCTAGAGGAGGTGCAGAAGCTCAAGGAGGAGTTGGAGGGAGTCAGGCAGCTGTTGGAGGAAAGGGAGAAAGAACTGAAGTTTCGAGAGGAAGAGGTCACGGGACTCAAAGCTTCTAAGGATCGTCAGAACCAGGCGAAGGCTTGCTTGAGTTGTGAGGAAAAGATCACTGTAGACGAGACCAATCTAGAGAGCGCACCTGTGGGGGACCACATGGTCGTTTCATTACCCGGGGACATCCTGATGGAGCGCTACCTGGCTTCAGCTCCTCCTGGACTCTCCCAATCGTCAATGCTCATTGAAAGCTTTGAACACTGCGGTCAGCTGGACCTCTCTGCAGAATACAGGTCAGTGAAATGATGATGGCTAGTGGTGTGTTTTTTTTGGGGGGGCTTTTTCAATCACATTATTCATCGCTCTGCCTCCCTTTGCAGTTTTGAGCTGAACAGTGAGGTGTTGGGAGATGAGCCTCTGTTGTCGATTTCAAACCGTTTCCCCGAAGAAGGAGTCAACCTCGATGACGACTCTACCCAACCGCGCTCGCCTGGCATTCCTGAGCATTTCACCTCCCGATCTCCATCTCAGTGGCTTCACGATGACTCCTCCGGCGAGCTGGAGACGAGTAAACTCTCTGAGCAGCAGTTTGAGGAAACTGACCTGGAAAAAGAGCTGCTGAATCAGCAGTGCGGGGAGCTCCGCGAGGAGCTGATTCTCAAGGAGAGGGACTTGAGTGTGTTAAAGGAGGAAGTCCTCAACAGTGCCGAAGAGCTGGAGGAGGCCAGGAGCAGGTAACGAAGGTCTTTAGGGAATATGGGTGAATGTTTGATTCATCCTGATTTTTTTAATATATTTTTTGTCTTTTCTCCATCAAATAACAAGCTCAATAGTTCTTCTTTTAATTGAAAGTTAAATTCTTTTTTTACATTTATTAAGGTAGATTTTATCAAGTTATTCAAATGTTGCCTGCAAAGCAACCCTGAATGTTTCAATAATCGACTTGAGAACTTTAAATCTTTGTACGTCAGGTGGGCCCAGGTAACCGAAGACCTAAAGCAGGCTCTGTGGGAACTTGAAGAAGAGAAAGATAAGAGAAGACGCGCAGAGGAGGAGATCACCTTGACAGCCCATCAAAACCACCCAAAGAACCAATTTGGTGCCTTAACGGAAGGAGAAAAGGAGAATGCAGTAGTGTTGATAGGAAAGGATGCTGCTTATACCTCCCTGCTGGTTCCTTCTACCTCTCCATCAGACGGGGAAGATAAACTGGTGGGTGGGCCAGAAAATGAACTGGAGAAGGAGGCTGCACTCCCGTCTTACCAAAAACCGCAGGAGCTCAACTTGTCGTCTCTGCAGGAGATGAAACCGCCCGCAATCTCTGCCAAACAGAGCTCAGAGCTCCACCATGACAACCAGCTGCAAACACTGCAGGTACACCAGTATGATAAGTGGGTTTGTGTTGGCAGTTTTATGGGAATGTAAACATGCTATACTCTGTATGCAGCTGCGCCCCCCCCCCCCCCCTACCCTCCTGTGAACTCAATTAAGAAAGAAATAATCTACATCAGCAGTGCTTTGTGCTTTAAGGGTTGGAATGATGGAGGCAATGAATTGATTGAAACTATAATATAGAAAACGCTCAACTTATTTCTGTTTCTTTCTGTCCCCCCAAAGGCTCAACTTGAAATTCTCCAGTCTGAGCTAGAAAAGACCAAAACTGAGCACGAAACCATATTGGCCTTATTGGATGAAAGGACTATGAAGCTGGACGAAACATTAAAGGAGCTTGAGACAACACGTGCACAGTTTGTAAACATTGGAACAGAAGTGGAAAGCTCGCGGGAGGAGCTGGAGAAGAGCCGGGGTCTCCTGGACAGTGCGCTGAAAGAAAAGGATGAACTGGAGGCTCAGATCTTCTGTTTGAGACTAAGCCTGGGCAGCCTGGAGGAGGCCCAAGCCCAGGCAGCGCGGGAGGGAGAGGAGCACCGAAGGAATAAGGAGGAGATGGATGACCGCATTAAGAAAATGGAGCAAGTATTGGAGGAAGAACTGGAACAGTTTGAGAACATGCTTAAAGCCAAGGATGTTGAGGTGCGATATATGATGTGACAGTTCATTTATTTAGCTATTGTTTGATCAACTGTCAGGAGATTAAAATAATGGGCAAAATGTGTTTTCGACAGTTTGGTGAAGAGAAAGAGAAATGGGAGGAGGAGAGACAGGAGAAGGAGAAAGAGCTCCTCGACGTGAAGCAACACCTTGAGGAACACAGGAGGGAGATGGAGGAGCAGGTCAAGGCTCTTGTGGAGAAGCAGCTGGAGGCTGTTGAGGAGGCAACAAAAAGGCTCAAGACATCTCACCAGCAGGAGATAAAAGATATGATGGAGAAACATCAACAACAGGTGGGATTTAACAACTTCCTAAGCGTGAGTCATTTTAGTGTGTACTATATAGTCATAAACTGTATGTTCAATGCTGCATGACATTCTTTTCAATTCTTTTTTATTAGAAAGGGCATTTGTAGTATTTTCTCATGAGCTAGTATACAAATATGGATGCTGATTCCTTACAAAATAGAAATAGTGGTGCTAAACTCTTTTTGCTCTCTATTCTTTCTATAAATTCTTTAGATTTCTGAGGCCAACAATCATCTCCAGTCAGAACTACAGAAGCGGCAGGCTACTATGGAGGAAGAACAGAAGCGACAGATCAGCCTAATCAAACAGGTATACCAAGTAATAAGTCTGAGGCAGGCAGCCGGACATACTGCAGTGGAATAGCACGTTGTTATTTAGCCCTTTTGATATTCAGTTGCAATTTTGTATATATCGTTATAAGCTGGTCACTTCTACCATTCCGTCCTTCCCCAGGTGACTGAACGTGAGCACGAGAGGATGATCTCTGAGCTGACCGCCCAACACGATGAGGAGCTCGATCACCTTAGGTTGGAGGTGTCCTTGGAGCTGAGAGAGAGCATGGAGGCGGCCCACCAGGCTGAACTGCAGCAGTCACTGGTATAGTAATGTGATCTGCGTCACAAAACATCGCAGCCATAGCTTGTATTTGTCTCCTTAGCTTATTTCCCTCATAGTCAAGGGGATTTGTCATTTAGAGTGACTTCAGGGGCATAGGAATTTAATTATACTTTTACTAAATTGCTACAGCGGTTAAATGTTACTCTAACTTTTATCCCAAACATGCTGCCACTACTAGGCTCAAAAAAAGCTCTTGCTCCAAACTGTACCATTTAGTTTGTATTCTCCATATTTACCTAAATCATTACCTTTTAGGTCCAAAAGGTCCAAGAGCTTCAGGCCTTGCGACTGAGCCTAACCGGCACGTCCCAGCTGGAGCAGGAGTCCCTTCTCACGGAGGTTCACACCTCCCTGAAGGAGACCTTTGCCCAGGAAAGTGAACTTCTCAAGACTCGCCATCAGTTAGAACTGGACCAGATCACACAGCAGAACCAGGAGCAGCAGGAGAGACTGCGTGTGCTGCACCAACAAGACATGAGTGAGTGCTTATTCACTGATCTTTTTATTTTTTTAATTTTATCGTGTGCCTGTGGGTGCACTCAACGTGTGGGCCATTAAGGACTTGGGTGGGCTCCCCTCATTCTTCAGAAACATGTTCAGGGCACAAAGACGGATGTAACCTTAAGATTCTTTGACGTGGGCGAGTCTTTTCATTTGCTTTGTATGTGTTCAGATGAGTTGAAGCAGCAGTGGGAGACTCGTATTGCTCAGGAGAGCGCTGCCATGCAGGAACAGCAGACCAAGGAAATACAGGTCAATTGATCACTGTGATATGAACACTATTTAAACATCCCACTTTCTATAGTGTTTCCATCTGTAACTCATCTCTGTCATCAGGCTTTAAGGTCACAGTGGGATAAGGAAGCTGAGAGCACCCAGTCGACCCTGAAGACCTCTCTCTCAGACACCCAGAGAAGCCTTGCGGCTGCCCAAGCAGAGCTTGCCGGCGCCCATGAATCCCTCACCCAGACTAACAAAGCTCTAACAGAAGCCCAGACCGCTTCGTCCCAGACTCAGTCGGAGCTGCGGGAGTCGTGGGCCAGGCTGCAGGAGCTCCAGGCCTCCAGTCAGGAGTCGAACCAGAAACTGGAGGAGGAGCTGAAACAAGCCTGGGGTGACAGAGATGCTGCTGCCCGTGAGTGGCCTTCTGTAGTGCTTACTTTATGGCTCCACAAATTTAGATTTATTATTTTAATAAGGAATTTTCATTTTACTCAATCTTCTGCATTGAAAACACTCATGGCGTTGTAGACAGTCATGCTTTTCTAATGTATGTTTTTTTTTATCCTGCTTAGGTGCTCTGGAGGAACTGACATCTAGTCATAAGACTGTGCTGAAGGAGAGGGAGCAGCAACTACTCCACCTGGAGGAGAAGAAACAGCAACTGCACCTAGAGGTGAGTTCAGTCGTACATAATAACATGTAGTTAAGTTGCCATTTATTTTTCAGTTCCAGTGTTTCCCCACACATAGACTAATCTGTGCGCCACAGATTTAACACTGGCTGCCACACGCTATTTAAATCACGCAGCGTATTCGTTCAGCTGCATTTCCTTTCCCTGCTCTCCCTCAGTCACACACACACACACACTTCATAAATCTTTTTATTTTATAAACTGTTTATTAAGTCAGCATTTATCTATAAATGATAGGAAACTCAAAAAAAGTTGTTTCCCTTCACATTTTAGTATGTTCAACAATAATTCAATGGCAACAAAGCTCATAACAACGATTCCTCTCTGAAAACCAGGTTTTGCGCCTTCAAGAGGAGCGGACCTCGCTAAAAGAGAGGTCAGAGCAAGAAGTAGGTCAGCTGTGGTCCCAGCTGGAGAGCATGAGGACCAGTCGCCAAGAGTTGGGAGGTGAGATGCAGCCCGACATCTGCAATGCTGTATTTGAATCTGCTGCACGCAATGAAATACTCCCAGTGAAGATACTCAAAATGTTGCACGTACGAGATGTAGAGAACATGTTGCCCCATTAAAAGTGGCTGTTGTCTGCGATGTGGTACGAAACACAGAGGAAAATAGAACTTGACTACACGTCTGGGATTCCACTTGCATCTTCATCACCTTTTTGTCTGGTTGTCTACCCCATTTTCTCAGAGCTGAAGGAGCAGCTGCTCGCTCGCTCATCTCGAGTTGAGGACTTTGAGCGCCTGAAGATAGAGTTTAATGAACAGAAGCGGGAAATCAAAGAGCAGAATGAGGCTGAACTGGAGAGCCTGAGGAGGTATGAGAGCACAAACGGGCACGTGGGAACACACACGGTCTGGATGACAACATTCTCACAGAAATCCTCAACCACCAGCCTGTCAAGGTTTGAAATTTGATGCTTAACATAAGAACTGTGGCGGTTCATAACTTATTTGGTTTGTGGTTTTGCCACCGTCGATAACGTCTCCCAATGATTAGTATATTGTTCTTTCTCTCCTTTTACTGACCCCATTCATATCCACGCTTTACCTTAATCCTCCTCTAGGTATTTTGAGCAGAGATTGCGGGCATCAGAGGACAGCTACAGAGAAGAAATTGCGTTGCTTCAGCTGAGGCTGGTGGAAAGTGCCTTGGAGGAATCTGTGCTTAAAACTGCAGATGACAGGTAGGCAAGTAGATCAGTGGGTTGATCGTTCCGTACACAAGACACCTATTGTATTTCTGGCCATCCTGGGAGAGGGATCCCTCCTCTGCCTCTCTTTGAGGTCTCTCCCTTTCTTTCCTTTTTATTATTTTGTTTTTCGGGAGTTTTTTTTTTTCTTGTGAGGTTTGCGGGACCGAGGATGTTGCATGTGTACATTACTATAATTATGAAGCCCTCAGAGGCTAATTTTTGACTTTGGGCAATGCAAAATAAATTGAATGAATTTATGTAAAACCAGATACATGTATTACATGCTTGGATTAAATTATCGTAACGTTTTTGGTCTGTTTTCAGTTTCATATCTCAAGGCCAAGTCGAAGAGGAAAAAGATCAGCACTATGATACCAGCCTCGAGTTGGAGAAACATGAGGTATGTGCATACCATGTGAGAAAATTAATTGTAGACATTTTGAAGAACTTCTGTAGCTTTATAAATGTGTGTTATTGAACACCATTTTTACATAAAAAGATATTGGAACATCACAAGATAACTTGGAGTGTTGTGTTCTTTCTGACTCAGGAACCACTGGATTGTTTGCGCCGTCAGCTAGTGGAGGAGCACGCAATGGCGCTCGCCAATCTGCAGTCTTCTATGGCACTTTCCTTTAAGGAAGAGCTGCGACAGGTCAGACCCTGTCCTCCAAAGCTTTAATGTGTCTCTTTTAACAAAAAAACGAAATACAAAGCCAAAATGAGAGAACTTGGCACACAAATGCTAACAGTTGAGCTTAATATGTGATTATGTTGCACATTTTCAGAATGGTTCCCTTGGAAGGTATCCATAGTGTGCGTTTTGTTTTTCATGTTAAAAGGCAAAAGTAAAAAGAGCTTAAGGAGCAAGACATTTTAAGCTGCACTTATTCAGTTGCCAGAGTGTTATTGTCGATTTTCATAAAGTGACAGAAATAGTAAAAGCCATTCTATTGTTGCAACTAGCAGTTTTCATACCATTATGCATGCATTAGGTGCGCTCTGACCTCACTGACCAGTACTATGAGGAGCTGCAGGAGAAGAGGACTCGTCATGCCCTAGAGCTGGAGCAAATGAGAGCCAAACTTTCTGACCGTCATTTACAAGGTAACATACATGCGCATAGTATACCAACATGGTTTTGAGCAGTTTCGCAAGTTGGGTAACGTCTCCTCAAATGTCGTTGTTGCAGAGCTTACGAGAGTTAGTTTGGAGGCCGAACAGCAGGTTGAGGTGAGTTTTAAGAACTGACCGATAATCTTTAAAAAAACTACAGTATCAACATATCAACTACAGTGGACAACAGTCTATATAATACAACATTGTGATGATTTAAATTAGGCGGAGGTAGAACAGAGGATATGGTGTCACACCGAGGAGCTACAGACAAGGATGACCATGATTCACAGTCTGGAAGAAAGAGTGTCTACCTTAAGTAAACAACATGATGCAGAAATGCAAAGGAACACACAAAAGGTAAATAAGCCTTCATGCACATGTTGTCAGTTATATAGAAGCACAAATATATTGATACAATATTATGTATGTTTCTTTCAACTCCTACAGCTGAAAGAGGAGTTTGCTGGTGAGCTTGTTCAGCTTGAAGAAGCTCTGAAACAGGAGACGGTGCACGTGCAGGACGAGATGAAGAGGCTGCGAGAAGAGCTCCAAGAGAGACATGAAGCTGAACTCGCTGCTGTGAAGTCGAACCTTGGCAGAGAGGTGGAGAAGGAGAGGTCACGTCTTGAAAAAGCACTTCACGAGGAGACGGAGAAGTTAAACTTCCTACAGTCTGCGCTTGACAATGATGAAAGTAAGATTTATTATTACATGGGTTTCCGTAGACTCATTTCATTCTATCTTCCAGTAGGATCCCATGTAGTGGTTCTTCATGTGCCTCTGAGACGGTGTGTTTGTTTTTCAGGCCCACAGGTGCTGATGGTGCGTCAGAGACTGAAGGCCGAGTACGACTGTGAGCTACAAAGGGAAAAGAGCTGCATGGCGACAGAAATCCAGGAGCTCACTGCTCTCCTCCGGGAGCAAGGTGAAGAGCGGCTACGCCAAGCCCAAGAGAGGTGAGCTCTCTGGTTCAACCCAATGTTTGTATTCATTTGGGGGAAAAACGGATCAAATGTATTGTAATTTAAGTCTTAAAACTGAATGGGCTGCACCAATGTTCTCACATTTTTCCCCATCTTTGTGATCCTTGATATGCTTCATATTGAATGATTTTGGGGATCTTTTTGTGTTCAGGTTCCAGGAGGAAAAAGCAACGCTGGAATATAATTTGGCCGAAAAATCTGAAATCTCTCTGGCACAGCTACAGAATAAACATCAAACTGAGCTGGAACACGAGAGAGCAGCGCTTCTGAGCAAACACTCCGAAGAGAAGGACACACTCAATGCCAAACACAAAGCACAACAAGATTCACTCAGTGCCAGTCACAGCGAGCAGCTCGCCGCCGCCACGGTTGAACTAGAATCCAAACACAAAGCTGAGCTTGTCGCCTTGGAAGCAGCCCTCCGTTCCAAACGAAAGGACGACCTTGAAAGTCTGGAAGCTGTTCTTCAGGAGACTCATCAGGCCCAGCTGGAGGCTCTGGAGGCTGAGCTGACTCGCAAACACCAGGAAGAGAGGGATGAACTGGAAAAGAGGATGCTGGGTAATATGGACACTTTGGAGGCCACATACCTGAAGGAAGTGCAAGTAAGGACACATCATTTGTAAAATCAGACCGTATGTCTGCATGTTTTACATTCTTAAGAAAGCTGTTTAGGATTTCAAAGGGCTTTTGAGTGTCTGTCTTTAAAACAAAATGTATTACAGACACTGCGAGATGAAATGATGCAACTTGAAGATAAACATTGTCAAGACCTGAATCTCCAGAAGTCACAACACCAGCAGATTATGGAGCGCCACAACACTGAGCAGCTGTCAATCAGGGAGGATCTGAGGAAAGAGCTGGCTCAGGTGCACATAGAGAAGTTTAGGGCCATGGCAGCAGAGCTCAGCCACGTTCACAAGGTGAGAAGTAAAGATTGGTTCGGTGCTGTACAGTCATCAATCAGATTAGCATTCAATCAATAACCAGAAATACAGAAATAAGACTTTGACTGGTGACTTTCGTATTGAATGAAAATTCCCAATTCTTTCTAATAGACTGAGCTGGCTGCTCAACAAGAGGCATTGGACATAGAACACTGCAAAGCCCTGGAGACTCTAAAAAAGCAGGTATTTACCCGATCATCCATACTATACTTTTGTTTTCTAATCTCCTTGAAAGCGCTGAGAATAATAGCTTAATAATTTAGAGTTAACATGCTGACACTTTTATTTTAACTGATCTGATCCAAAAAAGCAATATAAAGATTCCTTCTGATGGAGAATATAATTGGTGGAATCCAATCACATGCTACTGAACATGAATACACCATTCTGTTAGATTTGCCTTTTTATAGACATATTGTCTTGGTTGTATCTGAACATTGATGTTAATGTTCAACAGTTCTGCTTTATAGTAATATTGGATATTTCAATGATCTACCTTATATTGGGTATTTGCTGCACTGGATTTATTCCCTCCATCCCCTCCCTGGAAATCACACACACATTACAATTTGTAATGTGTATTTGTTTAATAAATTAATTTTCTCAATTTGCTTCATTGATCATTTTATCCCTTTGTCTTTGTTTTCATGGTGTATGGCTAATGTAAGCTTTTCCGATCCTTCTCCCTCCTTAGTGTTTTAATATTCTGTGACATTTGATGTGTCTTTGCACTTTTCTCAGGTTTTGGAACTCGAGCAACAACACAGCACTGCCCTGCAGGAGCTCTCACATACCTACACTGCTGAGAAAGAGCAACTCATCGCACAGCAACAGGTGTGTATGTATTTGAGAAGCGTTAGGGAGCATCATGCTACCTCTTTGTGTAGGTTTGAATTAGTATTTTTTGCAACAAGAGTCAACCTCGAGTCCTCTGCCTGGCGAATAGTCCTTTCTCTCCTGCTCTCACAGCCCATTAGAGGAGTGATTACACTGAATTATTGCTCATCTCTCATAATGGTGTATTTGTGGGAGGCAAAGAGTACTACTATTTTGATTTTTGATTTTTTTTGAAAAGCACTATGAATCTGAGCATTTTGTATTTTTAAACCAACCAACCACGCTGGCTGCTTTTAGGAGTTGAGGGCGGTCTCTGCGCGGGAATTGGTGGCATGTCGCAGGGAGCTTGAAGAGGAGTCATTAAGGCAACGTCAGCACTTCCTAGAAGAGGCGGAGCTCCTCAAAGTCCAATCAGAGGAGAGAATGCAGGACAGAATTAATCAACTGAAGGTAAAAGAGGAGATGCCTCAGTGATGAGAAAAACATGACCCTGTTTGTAGCTTACTGTTTTCATGTCTAAAATATGATCTTTGTTGTATAATTATTTGACTCTTGAGTGCCTTCAAAACATTATATAACTGGATTATTGAGGTGTGTGTGTGTGTGTGTGTGTGTGTGTGTGTGTGTGTGTGTCATAGCCCTCTCTAATCTCCAGCTGCACCAGTTCATTCCAAGGCATAACTATTGGTTGGATGCTGTCCCACTGGAGCTTTACTCAAACTCAGTTTCCACATAATCCCTCCATCATATATGTAGAAGTGTTGTCCGTCTGTCTGTTCTTGTGTGTGTGTGTGTGTGTGAGAGAGAGAGTGTGTGTTACTGCGATCTACAGTAGCTAAATGGGATGGATCTAAGCTTTTTATCCTCTGATGCAGAAGGTTTTAGGGTTTTTTTTTCCCCAGACATTTGGCATTTGACCATCTGGAATGTGCAAGCCAGTAGTCAGTCATAAGCCAGTCAGACATGTCCGGAGGTCTCTTTAGCTGAGGAACGAATAAGTCTGCGTTATATAGTGCAGCTTTTTAAGATGGTGATCTGCATTTTTTAATTCATGTACTATCATCACTGCTTTGTTTAGACTGAATTTGAAGAGCAAAAGGAGGCGGAGCTTGAGGACCTTAAGCAAAGCTTCACATCTGAACAGGAGGCGAAGGAGCAGAGCTACACGGGCAAAATGAGCCAGCTCACTATCCAGCTGCAGCTACTGGACGCTGTGGTGGCCCAGGTACTAGACACTTGCATACATGCGCTAAATTCCCTGCCTATTATCGTGCTTTTAGTTTTTATATTTTGTTGGTGCAAATTTATTCAGTTTTTTTTCATTTGCACAATCTGCTCTATGTTTCTGGGGACCAGATAGGCCTGATATAAATGTGTCATCATCAGTGTTGAGACTCAATGGACCACATAAATGAAATTAATTAGAAATGATGCACACTAGGAAGCTATAAATAGAAATTCAGTGAATGAACAGTGAAGAACAAATAATGCTCCTAAGGGCATTCACAGGGTAGATATCCCTCCGCATTCGATAACATTGCGTTAAAAGGATTATTGTATCAATGAAACGGCGCTCTAATCTGGTGTGTTTTGTAGTCCGGTTATCTTGGTTGAAACATGTAGTGGAACTGAGCTGACTAGTCTGGCAATCAATTGGACAATCGTAGGGAAAATAAAAAAACGCTATTTTGATAAAAAATGTTAATCATTTCTTCTCAGTTGTGGACATTGCTTTGAGCTTCAGGAAATGTATTTACAGAAATGTATGTGGATTTAACTTCAGATGGAAGAATAATCTAAAGAAATGTTACCATAGCACCATGCAAAATAAATGTCCCATTTATATCCATTGTTATTTGTTCTTGGCCTGGAGCAACGTTTCATTCGTTTGGTTGTTGTGGAGAAATATACTGGAACCGTCAACTAATTGTTTGCCAACCCCGTAGTTACTAATAAGGGAGTCTCTATGCCCCGTTGAGTCTACTATTCTTTTTCTTTCAAAAAAACCTTTATGGCTTTATCAGGACTGACATTGTAAATTAATGCGTGCTTTTTGGACGCGTGTGCGCGCATTCGTTTCCATGGCACCTTCCCAGGCTTGGCTCTTGATAGTGAGATATTAACAAACACACACACCCCCAAGAGGTTCGCAAAGAGACGGTTAAGCGAGGTTGGGAGGGTGCTGTTGTCACGGAAACAACATTGTTTGGTTGAGGCAGGTGGCCTCACGAGAAGTGTTTGCTGGGAGAAGGCGGGAGGGAGAGAATGAAGGTTGAGGAACATAGGTAAAAAACTGATCGAGACCTGGAAGAAGAAGACAAACTCTGCAGTAAATCCAGAAGTTGTGAGTTGTGGTCATTTCTGTTTCATAGCAGATGTATTAGTGATGGTTGTTGTCTCTGGTTACGGAGGACAATCAACAGCTTGTTTTGATTTCCTCTCGAACGCAGAGCATGACTTCTGCTTTTGTCATGCTCTTGGCCGTGATCGTTTGTTAGTAGCCATGTGATTTCTGGAACTGATACTGACAGACTGAGACAATACTTTTGGGGGAGAAATTGGTTGTTTTGCTCATGGATGTTTTTGAACAAGTTGTGGGAGCGGTGCAGCTAATAGGCGCGTGTTGGGAGGATTTAACAGCTTTTTCCATCTGTTTTTTCAGCTGCGTGGCGAAGTTGGTTGTCTGCAGGGGGAGTTGGAAGGGAAGCGTTCAGAGATGGAGACTTTGGACACCCTCCTCCAACGAAGGGAGCGAGAGAATCATGAGGGTGGAAATCTTCTAAACATGCTCACGGAGGACTTGCAGACTGCTAAAGAGGAAAGGTAAGTTGTTATGGACGTTGCAGAGGGAAAGCACCTGTGATGGGCTAATATTACCGTGGCGTGTAGGTTTTTTGTTGCATTTTTGAACTAAAAATCAAGCGAATTGCAAAATTGGCTTTAGTATGCCCTTCAAGTATGTTTTGTTAATTACTTACTTTCTGCAACCACAAGTCTAATTGTTACTACTCTGGGATTTATGACGTATAATATGCATTTTTATTTGCTTTTACCATTTATTTTTTTTCACTTAAAATGTATGCTGCAGATGTTTTGACTTGGAAAAATCCAGACGCCAGTGTGTTAAATGTAGAAAATAGTTTTCGCATTTGTTTTCCCAGACGTAAACTGCAGCAGGCCAATGAAAAACTGAGAAAGGTGCTGATTGAGATGATTCGCTGCACCATTACAACTGAAGACATGATTGGACAAAAGATCAGTGGCAAAACCCAAACATCTGGGCAGGCGACCCTTCAGAGGAGCTCAGCGGGGAACAAAGATGCACAAGAATCTGGTCCGTTGGCCTTTCATTTGTTCTCAAGTTGCAATGCTCTAGTTTTTGTTAGAAATACACATATATAATATATCAAAAAAGGGGATTTTGTTTAAGTGAAATTCATTTTTGCAGTGACTAATTTTGACCTATTCTCTTTGTAGGTATTTCCGTTGCAGACATGTCTTCAGAAGACATGGAGCTGACCCAGCTGCTCTGCGAGAGCCTGCTGGTTTCTGATTGTCAGATCAATCCTGGCGGAGAGGAAGCGGCTCTGAACGCCTGCAGCAGACTGCGTCACACTGTTGAAACCCTTCTGGAGCTGCTCAACCACGCCAACACACAGGTAGAGGATGCAGAGGGCTTGTAATATCTTAACAATTCACCCAAAACGCCTCTTTCTTGAGTTTAAATTATGAGTTTCTTACTTCTCCAGCTGGTGCAGACTCATGATGTCCACCTCTCTCTGGAGGAAAAGTTCTCTCAGGGCAGAGACGACTCCGCCCAGCTCATTGAGCAGCACAAGCACCTGTTGGAGCAGCTTGATCGAGAAGCGGAGCTGAAGAGTAAACTCCAGCTAGAACTTCACAAGGCAGAGGGTGAGCACTAAATCCGCGTTGATTGGGCCTCACAAACGTCACCAGTCTTACTGAAGGTCAAACATAACTTTGTTTCTAGAAAAGTTATTAACAGTGATCTGATCAAAGGGTATTTAGATAATTGGTATGCTAGCACTAGCTGAGTCAGTGTTATCTGTGCAACATTTGGAAATTACTCAAATGGGTTGTTGATATTTTGTCCTGGGAATTAGAAATACTGTTAATATTTGCACTGTCGCCCTTTAATATCAGACAGACAGAAAAACAATTGATCAAACAATTGATTCCCTTTTAAACAAAACGTTTTGACTTTGTGTTCAGGGCTTCTGGATGGCTACGTGGCAGAAAAAGCAGTCCTAGAGGAGTCTCTGCAGCAAAAGGAGGTACAGGAGGAAAGACTTGTGGAGGAGCTTGAGGACCTGAAGGTGAAGCTGCACCAGATGCAGGCCCTCCCCACAGAGCTGGATAACCTCCGACTGAAGCATCAGGAGCTCAGCGAGGAGCACACACTCCTCCTCCGTCAGAAGGAGTATCTCTCCTCTGGTCTGGGGGAGAGGGAGAAAGGTGAGCGCAGCAACTGTGAAATTATGTTTTCCTCACTGCGTAAAGTATTGCATTAAACCTCTTTAGTGAGCTTGACCACACACTTATGATAATGTCTGTGCTCAGATGTGTTGTCTCTCTGTAGGCCATTTGCTCAATTCAGATCCTGACGCAGGTTTGTGGGTCAGAGTATGAGATGAGGGGGTGGGGAATGAATATGCAGTGCATTTGCAGTGCTGTGTGAGGTTGCCGTTTGTGCCACTGCCAGTAGTTTATAGCAAAAGCTTGTTTGAGTGCTGTCATTTTTCCCCTCTTACACAATGTTCTCGTTCAGAGCTGTCAAAGAGAATGCATTAAGTGCCTTTTCAGGCAAGGGATTTGTAATTTTTTGCAAATCATCAAATCAATGCGTGTATATTTGCATTGAAACAATAGCCTTAACTGTACCTTCCTTTTTTTCTTCAAGCTCTACTTGCAGAGACGCAGCGTTTGACCCAGGATAGGCTGGACTTGCAGCGGCAGGCAGAAAAGGACCGCAGCTCTCTGTCTCTGCGCCTCAGGGCTCTGGAGAGAGAGCTGGAAGAGCAGGAAACTAAGGGCCTGGAGACCGAGCAGCACCACAGAGTCAACGAGGAAGACCTCCACCAACGCGTCCAAGCACTTGAGAAACAGCTGAAACATGACAGGCAGTTTATAGAAGTGAGTTTAAGATCTCTGACTGATGACTGACTGTTGGTCCCTTTTTAATTTGTTGTCCTCTAAACACTTCTTATTATGCCCTGCATTCTCGTTTTGCTTACATTCTACTCTATTTACTAGTATCGCAAGAAATTTCTCTCGTTGCTGCGTAAACTCACGGACATGGTCTTCCATTTCAATTGTTCCTCTGCGTATAGGAGCAGGCTGTGGAGCGTGAACACGAGCGAGACGAGTTCCAGCAGGAGATCCGAAGCCTGGAGGCCCAACTGCGCCACACAGGCAGCGGGGATCACAAAGGACACCGGGTGAGGCCTGTTTAACATCCAACTGGTGATGTTGATAAAAGAGTGTATTGCAGTGTGTTTTTGAGATGAGTCTCCATGGCATTGCTATAACTAGTCATACTTACAGAGATTGAGGTGATGAATGCATTGTTTTTCATGTCACAAGCCTGACTTTTGCCATGTGTTTGTCCCTGTGCTGAACGGATTGCTCTAGTTTGAGGACTTGGTTCTGCAGGTATGAAATCTAACTGTAGCGTACTTCTTCTAGCTCCTCTGACTCTTTGCATGGTGTGTATTTGTTGAAATAATCATCATTTTCCATGCAATCGACCGTAGATCCATTTTCACTGCTTGTATGTGCTTGTCATATGTTCTACATTCATTCCCATTTAATCCTTTGTTTGTTAGTAGTCATTCATTCGCTTCGGTTTCCCACTTTCACCTACATGTCGCTGCTCTCTGGAATGGCTTAGCTTCTATGTTCGGTACCAGTGGCTGTAGATCTGAACCGGCTTTATGTATCTACAAATCATGTTTTCACGCTACAAAACTTTTCATCCAAAACGTGGCGATCTGTTTCTGCAGGTGGAGAGTCTACAAGCTATCATCAAAGACAAGACTGATGACCATTCCTCCTTGCTCGCAGCCAATCAGCAAGCCCAGCGTGACCTTAAGGAGCGTAATGAGGAGATAGACAAGCTAGCCGGGCGAATCAGGGAACTAGAGCAAGCGCTGCTGAACACCGTCGAGAGTCATCGATCTATCGGCCACCTGGAGCAAGAGCTCCAAAGAGCAAGGGCGAGGGAACAGGAGCTCACACAAGTAAGAAAATTGTACACTTGAACTGGCAATCACTCCTAACACTGCCGTTGTTTCTCACACATGCACATGCGTCTTCTGTTAGGATAAGCAGGCCTTGGAGCAGCAGCAGCTGTCGAACAGGCTTCAGATCTCCGCCCTGCAGTCTAAAGTGGATGAGACGAGACACTGTTACCATGACAACACGCGTGACCCCACTCAGGAGCTTAGCGACGCCCTGGACGCCGCTCAACAGAGCCTACAGAGCAAAGAGCAGGAGGTCTGTTCGATTTTACCCAGCCAGTGTTTGGTAGCGCAACAATTTAAGCTGGTTGGATTTATTTGATACATGTGGCTGTGGTGCCACCTTTTGGTATAAAATGTACATGCAAAATGAATCAATGTCATGAAAAAGTGTAACAAACTTTCTTTAAATGCACCGCATTGTTGTGTGTTCCATCTTTTGTCTAAATTGAATCGGGGATGTTATGTCTTTGAAGGTCGAGGCCCTGCATCGCCAACTGGAAACTGTGCAGAGGGACTTGAGCCTCAAAGAGGTTGAACTAAAACACCTCGCACTACAGCTGGAGCTACTGACCAATCAGAGTGCAACTCAGGTTAATGAGCTCCAAGGACAGATTGCCACACTGCAAGTAAGTGGTATTTCATTATTTTGTCTATTTTAAGCTGCTTTCTAAGTACTTAGGCTAAGTACTTCTTTAATATTTCATACGCCCCCCCCCAAAAAAAGCCTTAAATTGTACAGTATAACTTAGAAGTGATCTGCTATGTACAACTCCTCTTGCAGGAAAATGTGTCCGCTCTATCGATACTCAAGGAGGAGCAAGAAGAACAAAGCGAGGTGGAGGACACCGAGGAGGAAAGCCTCTCCTCAGCATTATTTCAGGAGAAAAATCAGGAGATTGACCAACTCAACGCGCAGATCCAAAAACTGGAACATAAGTTGGAGAACACCAGGGACAACAAGGTCAGAAAAACGTGCAAATAGTGTGAAAGTGCTCACAGTTTGAGGGGAAATAGAATTATCCAATTGAAATGTTTTTATCTTTCTGACCAAAAGGCTCTCGAGGCTGAGCTTGAGGATCTGCACTCACAGGTGGAACACCTTCGGTCTGAAATCGTGAGAGTGCGTCAGGACAAACGGGAAGAAGAGGAGCGCCTTCACGAGGTCATCAGCACCCTGCAGGCAGAACTGGCCACATTAGGCCCCAACCTGCATGAAGTCAGTGACTCTCAGGATGGTGACAGTATTAACCCCTCGCTGGCTCCCAGCCCAGAGCCTGACCACGATGCAATGCAGGAGCAAGCGAAGAGGGGAGAACCGAACAGCTTGAAGCAAGAGCTCGGTCTGGGTCACTCTGCCTCATCTCGCTCCCATCGGTCTCGTCTCAAGGCCCTCCAGAGTCAGCTCGAGGCTGCGCTGGCTGAGAAAGACGGACTGGAGCGCTTACTGCTCACCCAGGAGGAAGATTACAGAGGACACGGGGAGGAGTTTGCAAAGAGGCTGACTGCTGAACGGGAGAGGGCAGATGAACTCCAACATGCTCTCGCTGTCAAAGTAGCGGAGCTGAAGGAAGTCCTAACCCAGAAAGAAGAGGAGACTGAGAACAGTGGAAGGGGACCATCTGAAGAGGAGAGGGACTGTGGCAAAAGTCAAGTCCAAGAGATGAGCGCACTGCATGAGAAGAACGTCCACCTCGGCTTACTGGTTGTGGAACTCCAAAAGAAAGAACAAGCGAGCCGGACAGAGATTGAGATTCTGAAATCAAAACGGCAGGAAATGCAAACAGAAAATGAAGTCCTTCAAGAAACCTGTCTCACTCTTGAGAGACAAGTCCAGGAGGTTAGAGCCGAGGTGGTGGACATGGAGGAGCTGGTTGCTGTGGAAAGGACAAAGCTAAAAACACTCCAGACGTTGAGGGAAGAGCTTTCTGCCGAACGTGAGGCACGGCGGACGAGGGAGGGGCAACTCCAGGAGGAAAGTGAAAGCCTCAGACAGGAAGTGACTTCAATGAGCGCCTGTATCCGGGACCTGACCGGTCGACTCAATGAGAAGGAAAGCAGTCAAGAAGAGGCTCAAAAGGAAGTGCTGGTGAGGGTCTATCCAATACGCAAATGTGCAATAAAATTCCAACCTCCTCTTTACCTCCCAATTGAATTCTAGGTATTTTAATAGAAGCAGGGATTAACATGATTTATTCAAAAACACCGCAGTGAAAAAAACTTATTTTCACTTACTGTGATTATGATTATTTATCACTTAAATGAATGTGGTATATTCTGCTGAAGTTGCCTTTTTAATCTGGTGATTAGAACCAGAACAATTCATTGTCGTAAAGGGTCCGTAAAGTCATTTGAATAACTTTGTAAACTAGTATCAAAATGCCCAGACAGCAAATATCTAGCTGCTGTTTTTTTAGCTAATGTGCAGCTATGCTGGCAACCGCAGGCGAAACCACATCTGGTTCTTGTTAACTGCGTAACGCGTCACATCGCTGCGTCACTCCCGAGACTGCAGACTCTTACTAACACAAAGGAAGTGACATGAAAACGAGGAAGCCGGAGGGAAATCTTTGTTAGCGGTGTTTTTTAAAGCTCCGATGCACTTTTTCTTCTTTTTAGGTTATAACTAGACAGGATGTGGTAAGGAGACAATGTTATTTTATCTAATGGAGGCTGCAAAGCATTTGTTGGGCTTCTGCAAGTCTTTGCACTCGTATCTGGATTTTGATGAGTTAACAGAAGTTTGTAGCTACTGTTGTTACTGCGTGCCGAAGAGGTTTCTAGCAATAGATAAGGGTTCAATCCGGCATGTACATGTGGTTCTTATTAAATAGGAATTCACATTGCAACTTAGATGTTGGGCTTATGTAACGCTCAGGGGAAAAAAATGAAGTTAAAAATTTGGTTCTTTGATGCACGGTTTTATGAATACTAGGCGAGGCTTTTAATGAGTGTTTCTTTTTGTCTAAGACCCTGGCTAAAGTAGACGCTGCCTTGAGACAAAGGGAGACTGAACTCGTCAGACTGAAGGCAGAGCATCAGGCTCTGAGGGCCGAGCTGACTGCTGTGAAAAAGGGTCTAAGTACCAGTTCGGAGAAGGCTGAGAAACCACATGAGGAAGGACAGGTGGGACTATGTGAATACACAACAGCATATTGGATATAAATTGAAGTGCAGTGGGATTTAACCTGTCTTTTCTGTACGGATCCACTTGTTTGTTGGGAGATGGGAAGTCATGGTAGTACTCGAATGAGTGTAATGAACTACATTTTAATGTTATTTATTCTCGTCTGTCAGACCGAAGGCCGCGCCTTATTCATCCTTGATACTGATGACCAGCGGCTGAAGGCGGAGCTGCGAGGTTTACAGGAACACCTGGCTGTACAGGAAGAGGAACTATCCCATCAGCAAAGAGAACTACGGCAACTCCGACATCACTGGGAAGACACACTTGATCACCAGGAAGCATACTTACCGAAGGGTGAGCCCTTAGCAGTACTGCAAACATTCTATAATGTTATATGTTTAGGTTCACACCAATGACGTATAAATAATTGACTTGAAGGATTATGATCTCCTATTTAGCATCCTCGGACAGAACGACGCACTCCTAGATAAACGGTGCCGTTCCCTGTGGTCTAAAACTCCAGAGAACCTCTGGCCGCGATGGCATCACAACCGAAACAAGTTCTCATAATGACAACATCTATTCTCTCCATCTGTCAGATATCTCCCACAGAGCTTTTGAGGATGTCGTGAGCGAGTCTCGTGACGAAGCCTCTCTGAGCTCTCCGGAGGTTTTAAGGAGGCTTGAATGCTCCGCACACAGAATCCCAGAACGGTTCCACGCCTCTGCTCTCGACTCTCGGCTGTCCGAGTTGAGCGGTCTGAACATCACAGGCCTGGATCTCCACCATGTCAAGACCTCCCCCGGGGTTGTGATGGAGCCTCCGCACTCCAGGACCATCACACCAGAGCCGGCCACACAGAGTACCCACTCCCCAGGCTCTGTGTCCGTGTGCGACCACTTATCCACGCTCGACTCACTGGGCACAGATAAAGTATGTGGTCTCAAACGTCCACACATGCTTCCCTTTGTGGCATTTGGTAAACTGTGGTTAAAGATTTGATTAATCATCTGTATTTATTTTTTTCCTTAGGCACACGAGTTGGAAGAACTGGATCTAACAGCACCTCCGTCCCCCCTGGGCTCCACCTCATCCTTGTCGGCACCAGAATGGGCCAGTGACGGATATGGCAGCAGTAATTATTGCCTCTATTATTTCAAATTTTTTGGATGAAATTGAGTAAGACGAAACAGGCTTTGGCTTCATAGATGATGCTTGTTAGTGGCATCAATTGTTGCACTGCTTTTTTTCTTGTTTTAATACATTTTTTACACATAAAAAATAAGATAAATATTGAATATCTCCAGACTGATCCACTCAATTCTTGTGCTTTAAGATGTGAGTTCAGAACTAGGTGCGAGGCTGAAAGTAGAGCTGGAACAGACTGAAAGGCTGGATGCACAGTTTCTTGAGTATCTTCACTGCAGAGGAATGAACCCCACGGTGAACACAGACAGTGCTGCAGGCAGTATGAGCTACAGCGACGACCTGTTGTCGCCTGAGCTTCAGGTAGGCTTTATTAAAACTCTCAGAAATCCTCTTTATTTCACAATATGCCGAGATTTTACACTTTCCTTCTCCCTCTGCCTGTAGGGTCTGTTAAAGAAAGTGTATCAAGAAAGCTGCCAAATTCTCACACTGTCCCAACGCCGCGCCACGTCCTCAACGCGGCCTCATGTCTCTGACCTAAGAGCCGTCTCGTTGAGTCAGAGAGGGCAATATTCTGAAGATGGCGCCGTCACACCGGACCAGCGGGACCATCAGTCCTCCAATCCCCCCATGAGCTGGCAGCAGGAGAAGAGGGCACTTCAGGAGACTGTGATTGCTCTCCGAGAGCTGCTCTGTCGAATGGCTCAAAGCCAAACACGAGTGAGTTACTGTGGTTTAAAGATTTTAAAATGATCTAGTGAAAGGAAACCGCTATCTTTTACTTGCTAATCACTTTCTTCGTTCTTCCTCAGACTGACTACAGAGAGGAAGACCAGCACAGAGATCAGCTACACACGGACAAACCGGGTGAAACACAACTGAGGACTGAGCTGAAGGAGAGCCAGAAACACTCGACATGTGTTCGTGACGTTCAGCAAGATCAAAAGAAACAAATGCAGTCACTCCGGTACGTTAGACACGAATGCAACCACCAAATTACGCCCTTCCCAAGTTGATATAGCAGACAAAAACAGAAGAGATTGTGTGACAGCAAATTACATGTATTGTGAAAATCAGAACTTGAAAATTGAGATTAAAGTATTTTCAAAAATAAAATTCCATCTAAATCCAGCTCATGTTGCCCATTAGGTGCATGCAAAAATGCTTTGTTTTTGTACTTTATAGGAATCCTGGTTCCTCAATTCTTTGTGTGGTTTTTATTATGCTATTCTGAACTTTTTTTCATTGCCATGTTTCTGTTACAAAAATAGAGGTTTGGGTTGTGCTTTCTTTTTTTCCAGGATGGCTGTGGAAAAGGCTGAGGAAGCTTTGAGACATGAGCTGCTAAGAGTCCAAGAGCTTCAACAACAACTGGAGCAGGAGAGAACTCTCAGTGTCCGTAAGGACCGAGAGGAGGAAGAAAGGAGAGCGGTAAGACGAGCACTTTTGCATGCATGCTGAATGTGCTGTGAATTCTGACATAAAAGCTGGCGTGGAATAATGGCCGTCTGCCACCACGAACAATTGAAAGCCAGAACCGATCAAGAGTAGGTAGTCAATTAAAACAGCACGTGGGAATTTTAGTATAAATGAAATATTTTTCATTATTGATTCCATCAGTAACAGGCATGTTCCACTTCACACAGAAAATATATTTTTATACTGAAAGTATTTCCCGTTTACTTTTTTGCCATTTGATTGGTATTAAACTGCTGATTGATGTTAAGAGACCCATTAACAAAACGCTTCCTGTCCAGACTGCACTTGTTCCCTTTTTAAACTGATAAATGACATCTCCAGGCTGTGCAAGTTTCCTTCGAGCAGAAGAGGTTTGAGATCACGGCTCTGAAGGGTCAGGTGGAACAGGAGAGGGTCGCCTGCAGCAACCTCCAACGGGAGCTTCAGATTGAACAGTCCCGCAGCGTGCTGCTGGAGAAACGCCTCGACGACACCCAGAAGGAGCTACAAGATGAACGGCAACTTTCCGCTCGCCAGAAAGAACTCAGCTTGCAAGACCAGACTCGTCTTGAGCGCCTCGTGACAGAAGCCGAATCTTGTCAAGCAGAAATTCGCTCCAAGCTCTCAAATGCTCGCAATAAATTGGATGAAGAGCGAGACCAATGCTCCAAGCAGGTGGATGAAGTCAGCCGCAGACACGAGGCGGATGCCGCCAGAGACAGGAAGTTCCTCTCCGACATGCGCGCCCAGCTGGAGCAGGAGCGAAGGCAGGGGGAGGAGCTGGTTGTCGAGTTGGACAAACTGCGATCCGAGCTTCTGCAGAGCCGGAGGAAGTGGGAGGAGGAGGACAGAACGAGGAGGGCGGAGCTGCAGAGGGAGCAGGAGGCCGCCACTCGATGTCGTGTAGCTCTGGAGGCCTTGAAGGAGCAGAAACGGGAAACCAGCTGTGCTTTAGAGATGGAGCGAGAGCGTTCCCGACACCAGGGTGGGGAACTGGCCGAGCTGAAGGAGAGAATGCGACTGCTGAAGGACAAAGAGCGGGAGCGTGAGGAGCAGCGGGAGAGAGAGAAGAGGAAGGAGAGGCAAGAGCAGATGGAGAGGGGGAGACGACAGGATAGGACCAACAACAAACTGGTAAAATACCATCAGCCTACTTCTCTACTATCTGCTTATAATGCTTTCACAATTGCGATGCTCTTCTTTTAGACCGTACACACCATCACACCTCCTTACAAACATTTCTGACTTTAGTGTGAGTTGAAGCTGTTGAGGCAACAGGACCAGCAGCGCATGCAGAAGCTGCAGCACACTCTGGCAGAGCTGGAAAGCGAGGAGAGAGAGATGGCGGCTCAGAGGCTGTCTGCACAAACCACAGGGCAGCAACACAGGGCCGCGTCTTCACAGAACCTCCAGAGTGATTTCCAGGCAGATGTTGTACAACTAAACCAGCAGGTACACATGTGGTTATTACACACACACACACACACACACTACAGTGAGAGCAAAAGTGCTGTGCCACAGACCCTTCGACCTTATTACTGTCTTATGCAGGTAATGGTGGTATTATGGGACTTGAAATTCACTGGACTGCATTTTCTCGCCGTAGATGTTCGCCACGCAGTCATCCCCCAGTCTGCTGGAGAGGTTGCTGAAGGAGAACTCTGACCTTACAGAGCGCGTGACGTCCCTGAGTCGGGATAGAGCCACCCTCAAACACACGCTCGCCTGCTCCGAGCGACAGCTGCGGTGCACCGAGAACGAGCTCGCCAAGGTCGCCACGGGGACTGAAAACCGACCCATTAATGATGTAACAAGCAGCAGCAAGGTCAGTGGGAAACATGTACTCACAAGCACATTTATTTATGATCTAAAGAATGAAAAATATTTTCTAAGCTGTCCAGGAACAGGGCAGTGTTTCCTATACTATTCTCCAAACCTAATAGACGTTCACTCATTCTAAATGGTGTCTTTTTAAAATTTCCTATACGTTTTCATCTTTCTTTTTTTTCCACCGAGCTTACACCACTGTTAAAAAAATAAAATAAAAATAAAAAGTATTAAACCTATACAATGCTAATGCTATACATTGCTTTTCAGGTGCAGCGTTTGTATGAGCGCTACCTGCGCGCTGAGAGCTTCAGGAAAGCTCTGGTGTACCAGAAACGTTATCTGCTGCTGCTGCTGGGGAGTTTCCAGGAGAGTGAGCAGGCCACGCTGTGTCTCATCGCTCATATGGGGGCACGCCCGTCCCCCCCGCTCTCCCACAACAGACCCCTGGGACGATTTAGGGCCGCTGTGAGAGTTGTCATCGCTATCTCAAGGTATGGAGCATAAAGATTTAAGGCTTCGCTCAGCCTCGTCTTCGGCTAAAACTAACCTCCCTTTATTTTTAGAATGAGGTTCCTGACGAGGAAATGGCAGAAAGCGATCAGAAGATTATCTGTATCCGGGACGGTCAATGGGCATGCTCAAGGTCAGCTGGGTGAAGACATTTAGTCAGCATCACGGCTGTGTGGATCAGGAGTATTATATTAATATGGATTTTTAATCTTAACTGTTACAGGGCCTAAAGCTGAAGTTTTAACGCAACTACATCCTCGGTTAAAGTTTGACTCGCCGCCGATCAGAGACGGTAGTGCCGTCCACAGAGACAAAGTGTCGGCTCTTGTTCCACCCACAAAATCACCCTTCAGGTTGCACAACAGGTTTGGGCTCTTCTTAAACTACATTTTTAAGTAGATGTCTTCACAAATGCTTGTAATGGATTGAAAGTCCTTTTTCATCAATGAGCTTTCTTGTCTCCTCAGGGTTAACTCCAGCACCACGGCGGGCTCGGAGCATTCAGGAGGAACCTCTCAGGATCCAGAGCGATCTCTGACAGAATATATCCACCATCTAGAGAAAGTCCAGCAGCGGCTGGTGGGAACAAGACGAGGTGAACAGCATTAAGTATAAGGAAGGTGAATTTCAGCACAAACGATGGGAGTGTAATGCATCAAAGTGGATGACATTTAAAAGAATCTGTCACAAATTTGTCGCACACTGGAAACACAGGGTGTCAGGTAAAAGTCCATTAAAGGTTTGAGGATTGGGCACCTGCTGACCTTTTATTTATTGCACTTTTAGTCCATGTTTGTCTTTACAGTTGATCGGTGATTGGGGCGTTGAGTAAGAAATCCTACTGGTGATGGTATCCCACCAATTTTAAGGAAATTCATTTAAAAACAGGCAAATTATTAAGCACAACTTTTGGGATTCTGAGCACCTCATTAGAATTGTAGCGAGGAGTATCAAACTGGGAGATGTTACAGGGCACTGGGTTTATATTTCATAGCTCCTAATGCTGAGATCAGACCACGCATTGTGTGTCATCCCGGTGATGATGGCTCAAAGGAATACAAAAGGAGCTTTTTCCCTTAACCGAGTACATCAAAGACACCAAAAGCTTGTGTAGTCTGATCCCAGCATTAGTCGCATGTCTCCTAATGTGGGCACTCATTTTCCAGGAGTTTCCAAGAGTTTTTTTTTTTTTTTTTCTCCAAAGAAATATACATAGAAAATGCGCTAATGATTACAGAGTTCATTACAAGACAAATGATTCTATGAAAAACTCACCACTCGCTACAAAACAGAAGTCATTAAACCCTACAAAACCTGTGTGCTCTGTCATCTCCCAACTTGGTAGGCAAGCCTTGTTTAGCCCCACCCCCTAAAGAGGAAAGGAGGATACAGTCAGCCTGTTCCCCTCATATGATTGGTTATCGGCAGCGATGGCTGCAGGAGAATAGGACGTGGCTGTACCTGAGCTGCTTGTCGCCCCTTTACCTGAATGGTCCAGGTGAGTGTGAGTGTAAAACACTCACTCCACCAAATGTCAAAGCTGCATAATACACGGCTCGGAATGGGATCATTCACTGAGGGCACTCGATCAGATTACGCGGCACTCTCGTCATATATATATGATATATATATATGATATATATATATATATAAAATGTTAGATGTCAACTATTTTGTGCATGTTTTTATGCAGACTTATTCAGCCAGCTATTTGTTTCAATGGGTGTCACTACGGGTACTTTTCTCTTTGACTGGATGCAGTTATGTCTCTAAGCTTGGGATGCTTATTGCTTATTTCTGTTTGTTTCATTAGGTTCGTCTTCTTTCCAGCCCGACCCGTCGTCGTCCGACCACTGAATGAATGTCTGCTGTCTGCATACCATTCCAAAACTGTTAAACTGAAATATGTAGAAAGGAACATTGTGTGGATTTTTCTTTGAGTTATTTTATAATTGCATAAATTATTTTTCAACACTTTTTATTGGTATTTTTCTATTTTCTGTACAATAGTATTTTGAAGGGGACCTTAAGATGTTGCCAGAACAAATTTGTTTTTCTTTATTTTAAAATGTTTATTTTTCTATTGATGTCTATCATTTTGCGCTTGTAAATAGGGCTCATGCTTACTTAACATATCCAAATTTGCACTGATTGTTTTTTTGAAAATCCATGACTAAGATGGCATGTTGGTGAACCATATTTGTTTTTTGTGTAATGTTTCTACCATAAAGTTGATAAATATTTTAAATATTTCTACAAACCAAAAAGACTGAGTTCATTGTATGCACATCATCGTTGAGTTATCTTCAGGTATCTCACTTCTACACAATGAAAATTCTTCAAGAAAGGATTTATTATACATTTAGTTAGTGAAGCTTAATACCGATAAACACTTTGAACATGCACACTATAATACAATACAGTGATTGCTGCATTCAATAAATGGAACTGAGCATGGCAGAATAGTGTTAATGGAAACTGTATTGGCTCATTTAAAGTGATCCGTGCTAGTTTCTGACAATATAAGACAACAAAATGCACAATAAATAGCCCAATACAACTACAAATGCTCATAGTGGGTTCATTTCTAAATTAATTCGAATAAAGATATCAATTTTCATGGGTGAGATAATTGTTAAGAACTGCCATTTATGGCACTTGCAAATAGTAAAAGAAATAAAAGAAATGCATTTAGTAAGCTGATTAACCGGATATTAAGTAGCAGTCAAAAAACATTTTTACTCATTTAGATTTACAATAAATGCTTAATAATGACGTCCATATAATTTTTTTTCTCCCTAAAATGGGTTTTCTTTTTTTATGCGTAAAAACTCAACATGAAGACTATAAAATCCACGGCTTTTTTATTCCACTTTCTTAAGTTACTGAGACACATGAACCTTTGAGAAGCTCAACAGCAGTCGATACTTTGACCTGCTGCTCACACTCTGTAAACTCAAATAAGGGGGTTCGTTTGTTTATTACGTCCGCAGAAACCGCTTTGTGGTGTTTCTCCATTTCTCGTATTCATTCTATTGACACTTTAAAACTCCGCCCACTAATCTCCCCGAGGCGTGTAAAACGTTCGCTCAACGTGAGACATCAACACCGAATGACGCACATCCTTAGTATATCGGCACCGTGCTGCTAACGCTAAGCTAAGCCAAGCCAAGCCAAACGCTGGCATTGGTGTAACATTGGGTCGTTTTTTTTGGCCTATTATCCGTGCGTGAAATAGTCCTGGATCGCGTAGAAGACCGCGCTACACTTTTGTCGTATTTGTCTGGGATGTATGGATGGATAGTCGACGGACTCTCGTCGCTGTTTGAGCCCGTTACGAGGCAAAACACCACCGACTGGCCCGGGAAAGGTGACGGCGTGGAGGCGGGAGCACGGCGACAGGAGACCCTCGGCAGACCGGCTAAACGCAACTACCAGAGGTCGGTTGTTGAAGATTATCCTATATTCCTGTTCTCCGACCGACGTGTCAGGTTCGACACAACCTGCCATCCCTTCACTGATTGGATTAACGTGACGTAAAACGCTTAATCGAAGCGTAAAGAGGAGGCTGCTGGCTGTTAGTCAAGCTAGCTTGTTAACCGTCGTGACTGTAAGATAACTTAGCGGAGTGACGTTCGGTTAGTTGCTAAACTCCTCTCAGCACAACACGTCCATGTGAAACATAGAAGCATTATATTTAACTTCTCGCTGGCACAGCGGTCACCTGTCTAACCCTAAATGTAATATTTTAAGTCAACTGGTCATTGTTTTTGATTGTTGCCTATTGATTCACCCACAAAAACTCGTAGTATAAAGTAGTAAAGTATTTCCGGCTATTCTCGGTTGTGACAGTGAAACTGCACATCTGTGTGTTTTGTTGTTGTTTGGAGGCATCACATTGGGCTCCTGGTTTCCCGACTGTAGTATCAGACACTTAATTATCCAAAAATAATGATGAACACAAATTGATGCAAAGCCTAATTGGTCATCCGATGGTTGAAATGTTGTTCTTGAGGTAGAAGTACTGCGATATTGTTGGTAGTATTCTGTGCTCTGGTATTCTCCAACTTGTTTCTTCTTTTTCTCCCAGCGTTGATGTTGCAGACGGCGTTTTCCAGAGTGACCAGCTAGAGGTGAAAAGAAGGAGGCGAGGTTTGTTCAACAAACCGATCATTCCCCGTGTTAATTCCAAAAGTGTCCCCCAGATGAAGGCTGTTGACGTTTGCCTCGTCTCCTGTGTCAGATGTGGTCGTTGGCTTCGTGAAGAAGACGGCGGCCGGCGTAGCGAGCCTGCTCAGGCTGCGGAATCCGCCGACGACCAGTCGAGAGAAGTCGAGGCATTATGAAGACGTGCCGGTTGGTCCGCCGACTCAACTCCTCTCGCTCGTGCATTTTGATGCTTCTCAAATTGCATTCTGAGCCACACTGATGCGCCAGCCTTTGACGGCTATTTCAAATGCAGCCAAACCGTTGAATTGCATCTTCCCTACTATTGCAAAGACCCTACAGCAGTGAATAACTTGCATTGGGAAAGAGACTGCGTTGAATCAAACTCCCAGAAGCTATTATTATTTATTTCAGTCATTATTTCCTAAAGGTTTTACAATGTACGAGTGGTCCAGAGTTGTTTTAATGCTGCCATTCATTTGGATCTTTATACATCCATCCTGTATTAAATGTTCAAACAGACCACAATGGAATTAGTGGATAGAGGTGTTTGATCCAAAATGCACAGAGGACACATTCCAAAGTCTTGCTAGATTGTGTATGTAAAGCATGAGCGTAAATGTCTTAATGTTTTTAAACACCCGGCCAACTCGCATTTGTAACACTTTATTGAAATACGGACAGAAACAACCAAGGATACAAATGATTTTTTAAAATGTTTTTATCAAACAACACGCAAAGGTTTGAAGTAAATGCAATAGTCCTCTTATTATACCTTATTTTATTCTGTTTTCCAAATGCAACTTAAAACATGAACAGGGAAAACCTGCATTTGAGTTACAAGTAAATAGGCATTGGTTACTTAAAACCGCTTTAATCCTATAGAGTTTTGACACGTATATCAAGGAACGCAGAGTGAGCACAACTTAAGTCATGTCTACGTTTACATCTGTGATTTATATAGTCTGTCTTTTATTGACGCTGCGTCTCCTGTTTCGATGCAGCCTGTTACTCTGATGGGGATAGACGAGCTCCACACCTCGTGGTTGAAAAGCACTGAGTGGAGAATGAGTAAGTGAAGAGAGCTGTTGTCGCAGGAGAAGAACGATCTTCTGACTGCATCTTGCTTTTCATCCGCACTTTTTACTGAGTGGTCCTCTCATCTTAATCCCCGTTGTAGTTTGCTTGATTTTATTTTATGTTTTCATGTTTTTCTTTCAGGCAAACCAGTAATTAGAATGAATGAGAGGAGTGGGAAGAATCCCTTTCAGAGCTCTTCACCTCCTTCAATAAGGAAATACAGGCAAGTCAACGGTCCAGTTCCCTTTCTCATTCAAAATTATGTAAATATACCCTAAATGCTTCTTTGCTAATTTCCATCTTTTTTTTTTTAATCCAGCGGCACAGGGCTGCCCGACCGGGAGAGGAGAGGCTCCCTGCAGCTGCTGCCCTCCAGACCTGCTGTGAGGGTGGGAACCACTAACCCTGATCTGACCTGTAATGGCTTTGGACACCACCGCTGCTACAAGCCCAGTCTTACTGTAGAAGAGGTAAAATGGTCTTTGAGTTTTACTCGTTAGGTTTGTATGAGCATACTTGTATAAGCTTGTGTCGTAGTTTTAAGTTGTATTTACCACTAATCCTGCTTTCTGTTCTCCCTTCAGGCCATAAAGCAGAACGATAAGGAGCACTACAGGCGCTTGCTGGTGATGGTATCCGAGAAGTACAGCAAAAGCCAACCACTACCTTTCAACCAAACAAAACCGCAAGAGTGAGTGTAACGCCACATTCGTGTGGAGTATTTAGATATTTCTTCAAGGTCCATTCAACCGTCGGATATGAGCAACTGACTTATCCGATTCTCCCCTTTTCCTCCCAGTGAGTCGCTTTCACAGGTCGACCACCAGACTGCTGCTTCAGGAAAAGCGTTGAACCCCGGCTGCAGGAAGGCGCTGTACACAGGTAACAATGTATGAATGTTTGCTTGTGATAGTTTAGTAGTTCTCTGTGCTGTTTTTTTTTCCGAGTTGTATTTTAAAATTAAGTTGCATCCAACTTTATTTTTATTTGCGAGATTCCTCAAATAAACTGACATGTTTTCACATACCACTCATGAATCCACACAACTGAACTGTCACTTGTCTTTTTAAACAGCTTCCCCAAGTGTGTTTACATGGAGAAATGCATCTGCTACCAAGGAAAGGTTAGTGTAGCGTGTGAGTTTCATATATGTTGATTCATTCTGTATATCGTCCTTACCTTTTTGTATCCCTTATTCCCAGGTGGGGAAGCTTCCCATTTAGTAAGACATTCAGTGGAGCCCTTGAGGAAACGCAGCCTGTTGGCTGTGTGAAGGTAGTCCTTCATCTCTCTTCATCAATGACTCTTATCAAAGCACTGAAGTTATGATTATTGGTGCAAACGGATGTATCACTTCTGTCTGTTGTGTCAACCTGTGTTGCAGCACAAACCGTCTGCAGATTTGGACCTTTCTACAGAAGTAGCTACTCGCCTCAATCTAGTGGACCGAGAGCCTCCTGCAGTCGTCCTCCCAGACGCACACGCGTGGCACAGTGATGAGGACATACCCAGGCTCACCAAGGTGGGCGGGTCAGGAGGCTGGTGTGGCTGCGGTGGTCAGGAAATTATGCCTCTAATTTCTTTTATGTGTTTGTTCTTGTGTGTAGGATATGGCAGCAGAGGTGAGTTGTGCTCTGGCTCAGCGTGACCCCAACCTTGTCCTCAGCGCAGCTTTCAAACTACGCATCACACAGAGAGACCTGGCCACGCTGCAGGAAGGCGGCTGGCTCAACGATGAGGTAGGTGCTAAGTTGCTGCGACAATTCCCACAGGATCAATGCTCACACAGCAGCTAACGTCCCCGGCTGGAGTGCGGATGAGATGCAACATCATCCTATTTAAGTATTCTTAAGATGAATTATATTGGGCCTCATTTGTTTTAATTTACCAAGGTGATAAACTTCTACCTGTCCCTGGTGATGGAGCGCTGCTCCAGTGAAGCAGCAGGATTAAAAATCTACTCGTTCAGCACCTTCTTCTTCCCGAAGCTGCGAGGAGGCGGGCAGGACGGAGGACACACAGCGGTGAAGCGCTGGACCAAGGCTGTCGACATTTTCCTCTACGACCTCGTCCTCGTCCCTCTGCACCTGGGCGTCCACTGGGCGATGGCTGTAAGTCGTAACGACACACGTTTGTTGCCGTGTCACGTTCCCCCCGTTTAGTTGCCGGTTCATGACGGGGCGTTTAGCACTTTGTTTCAAGAAATTTGTTTTGATATTTCATTGATTACTTTAAATGTATTCTAATATAGTATTTCAGGAACCATGAAGAAATATTTTTTTGTGGCCTTTTTTAGAAATATTTCTCTCCTTCCAGGTAATTGACTTTAAGTCAAAGACTGTGAAGTCCTATGACTCGATGGGACAGAGGCACGACGACGTCTGTAGTCTTTTACTGTGAGTCCTCATTGTATTCTTAAGCTTTGTTATTGGGACGTCTTAAATGCCTCTTCCATTGGTCGCCCTATATTCTTGCACAGTACATAATCAATATTCACCTTTTTCAGACTCTACCTTAAAGAGGAGCACAAAGTAAAGAAAGGGAGAGAGCTTGACAGCCCAAAATGGACTGTTGGAAGCTTGAGGGCCACTGTAAGTAAAAATCTGACCAATGGCTATCACTAAATTTTCTTCTTTTTATTTTTTTAATGTGAGATTAATGTTTTGTACATTGCTTGTGCCTCTATAGGAGATTCCCCAGCAGAGAAATGGCAGTGACTGTGGTGTTTTTGTCTGTAAATATGCTGACTATATTGCAAAAGGAAGGCCGCTCTCCTTTAAACAGGTAAACTTGTCGCCTAATTCATTAGCCTTTTTTGTGTTTTATTTTTATTAATACAAATTAACATTTGCCTCTTTCTCTACAGTGCCACATGCCTGTCTTCAGGAAGTTGATGATTTGGGAAATCCTCAATCAGAAACTATGTTAGAGACTTGCAACAATCTTAATTAACTGCCTGACAAAAGTGACTTTCTAAATTGGAGCAGCATCTGTATACAGTAACTACATGTTGAAGAATAATAAAGGAATGGGCCAAAGAAGTGGACTCAGCGGCGGAAAATGGAACCCAGGGTAGCTGTTCAGGTCCGAAAAAATGTTAGTCTTAAAGGTGATTCTGTTCCTTTTTCTGTTGGGACGTATTGACACTTTGTCATCTCTGAGTTGTAATTGGAGACTGTATTGGGATGGAAGAAGTGTATAAATTACACACAACTTTGGCACTACTGACTGAATGGCTTTTTTTATTTTTTATTATTGACTTTATATTGTTTTTCTGTTTATTTCTGCCCAAAGTGCCTTCAGCCCTTTAATAATGAGCTCATGTTAGAGCATGCTTTTGCATATGATTGAAAGTTACTTGGATACATGCAACTCAAAAGGCCGAGTAAGAATTTGTTAATTGCATTGTTGCTCTAATATTTTCTTCCAAATTGCAATCAGCAGAGTGGACAGCAACTAACTTCAATGCTGCTTCAACGCGAAACTCAATCTCTCTGTAAAAGACGATGAAAATCAAAATACCTCCTTTCAGGCCCCCTTTTGAGACAGGTTGCATGCATGGTTGAATGCTTTTTAGTGTGTTTGTTTTGATATTGTTTAACTGGAAAAGAAAAGTGTTTCTGAATAAGGTTATAGTTTGTTTTCCCTCATGAGTGGACTATTGATAATTATTTCCTCTCATGTAATTGAAGGCGCTGTTACTTTTGTGAATCTTTTCCATGAGCATATTGCAAGAGGCTACTTAGGGCTATTACATTGACATACAGTATGAATAGTATAGTATATTGCATAGCAAACTACTGTACACACATGCATGTTTGGTTTCATGCTTTAAAAATGTGTTTTTTTCCGTTTTAATAAAGTATTTCATTTTGATATTAAATGACTCCTGCAGGCTTGAGTTTTTAAGGATTGTGTGACCTTAAATTATTACAACAACTTATTGTATTATAGGTTTATCAATATTACATTACAGATGTGGATGTAATGCAATGTCTGATGAGCATGCACGAGTACAATTTCTGAGAAGAGTTCAAACAGGGCTATACTATGTCCTTATTTTCAGTTTATACAATCTCCCAGTGTGTATTTCTGTTGCATAACTATCATGTGCCGGTTTCGATCCTGCCGCGAAGAGCTGCCTACACCCCGCGAGGGCACTTTAAACAAGCCGATTTATTATTTTGATAATGTCCTGGTTTCCCAACAAATATTATATTATGAACGTAGTCATTATTTTACAATTATTTATTTTTATTTTAGACTTTTTGATCAAAATATATATATTCAGCCAATTTTTGCAGCTTTTGTTCTGACAGCCGGAAACCGGAAGCGGCGCGCGCGGCTCGCTGTACCGCGCGAGCTGACTTTGTGGCTCGCTGGTGCAGAGCAGACATTTGCTGTGCGCTCGACTTGGCGAGCGATAAGGTTGAATAAACCGTCTAATCTCGTACCTTTTTTTTTGTTGCTCGTCTGCCGTCTAGTAACAAAAAGCATGAGCGACATCGAGAAAGATTTTAGGGAGCAGGTGAGTGGTGAGAAGAAGTTGAGCTAACGGTTAACGTTAATCATTTTCAAACGTTTAGCTAGCTTAAATGTTAGCTGCGTTCATAGCTCGGTTCATGTGAGTGCATTGTTATAGCAGGCCTCGACCCCGACTGAAGTGTGTTTTGTACAGCGTTTATCTGAGTAACTAACTACAAGAGTATTGAGTGTTAACAATTGTCGAAAATGAAATCCATGACGTAGAAGCCTGAGGCCTGCAATGCACAACAATCGCAGAGATTTAACGCCAGCGACCTCTGCGATTGCTTTGCTCCACCTCCTTCATCGCAGACTTGTTACTTAGCCTGAGATAATGGATAATGACTACCGATTAACATTAGTGACAAGTCAATATTTAATGGCTGTAATGTTCAGATCTGTATCCGCAATACGTTATTTAGAACCAACAAAGATAACATGTTACGTTATTAATCTAATGTATGTTGTTTTCCTGTTGTTTTCTTTTTATTTGTGTTCATTTTTGGCTTTTCCAGAAACCAACTTGCCTTATCACCCTTGTTTGTTCTTTGTTAAGGTTGAGGTTGGAAGAAAGAAAAAGGCGGAAGACGTGTCAGATGTGAAGTTGTTATTATTTGGCGCTGATGGTGTTGATGCATGCTAATGTGTTGGCTGCTCAAAGGAAGCCATCAAGATCTGTCCCCACTACTAGTGTTGTAATGGCAGATGGTAAATGGGGGAAGAGGAGGAAAAAGAAGTCATTATGTCAAACGGAAGAAAGAAGAAATGAAGGGTTGTTTTGAAGTTAAAGAAGTTATGAAGTTAAGATCAGAAGTTTACCAGGGTATGATTAATTTCCTCACAGCCTGCTATGCTACTCTTTTTCATCTTGTTTCTTTCTCTTAAGCATGAGTCATTTTCTTCTCTTATCAAAAAACATCACGGTCAAACCTTCTAGGTTTACTGTTTTTACAATCTGTCTTTCAGCTAAATTGCACAATATATATTTCAATGATGTACTGCTATGTTTGACCTATTATAAACACGTAAAAGTATAGTATCAAACCTGTTTTGAAATGTCATAAATACACGCTGATGATGGTATGTAGAGGTCCACGCTGTCACCTCCTGGCCCCACAATTGGGATTAGAGGGTTTCTGATTACAGTGTCTGGTCTGTCCAGGACTCGCAGCCTGGCTCTAGGAGTGCGTCCCCTCGGGGCTCAGTTAAATCCACCAGCCGCTCCCCAGCGCGGTCAAAAGATGGCTCCCATCACTCCAGGTCGAGATCCCGATCTCAATCCCGATCCAAATCCAGGTGAATTGGATTTTTTGTTTTCATGTGCAAGTGCAAGTGGTGTTTGCAAAGTCAGGGTGGGATACGTGGACTAAACTATATTTTAAGAGATTTTCTAGGGTTTATTTCATGTACATCCCCCAGGTCCCGTTCCCACCGGAGTTCGCGCAGGCATTATTCGCGCTCTCGTTCCCGCTCCCACCGACACCGGTCCAGGAGCCGTTCTCGTAGCTGGGAGTACCGCCGGCATAGGAGCCATAGCCGCTCCCCCATGTCAAACCGGCGTAGACACATTGGAAACAGGGTACATGTTGAAAACCTCAACAGGCTTGATTTTGGCATCTCTTGAAACATGAGCTTTATGTAATGAAATTTGAATGAGGGACTTACTTTTTACAGAAGTTAATCTAAATCAACTTCATTCCCAGATGATCTGCTTCAGAAAAACAGGATTTATTGCAGTTATGTGACCAGTTAATTTGTCTACAATATTTTTACACTCCTCCTTTACTCTTAACAGGCTAACCCAGACCCACACAACTGTCTGGGTGTCTTTGGACTGAGTCTGTACACCACGGAGAGAGACCTGAGGGAGGTTTTCTCTAAATACGGCCCTTTGAGTGGCGTCAACATTGTGTATGACCAGCAGTCGCGTCGCTCAAGGGGCTTTGCCTTTGTCTACTTTGAGAACTGTGAGGACTCCAAGGAGGTACAGAGACACAGATATAACTTGTCTATATTACATAGTAAATCATCTTATATCATAGGAATTTGAGTAGTTTTGTGTTGTCACCATTACGGTAGCAGTTGGGATTCGTCAGTCTCTTGTCACTTGTGATGATGTCATTCGTTTTTTGACAGCCTACCGTGTAAGTGAGAGACAAGAAGCGGGTTTGCTAACGGGAAGAAGACTCTGTAACTACCGTCCACATTGGATTCTAAGCTAATCATAAAAGGGGTTGTATATGAATATGTTAAATATGCGTTCAACACACCGTAGGTGTCAGGTGGATCCAGGGCAGAATTTACACATGAAAACGTTTTAATCATCTTATCAAGCAATGTCTACTTCTAACTGGGTTGTTGTGGCTTTTAGGCCAAGGAGCGTGCTAATGGGATGGAGCTCGATGGGCGCAGGATCCGAGTGGACTTCTCCATCACAAAGCGGGCCCATACACCCACTCCTGGAATCTACATGGGACGGCCCACATAGTGAGTGTTCCTTAAACCAAGCAGCTTGGGTTTTTAGGGTTATTTTCTGCCTGTGTGTTCAATCTTACAATGTGTCACCATCGTTTATTCTTTGTGTTTCTGAAGTGGTGGTGGTGGCAGTGGCGGAGGAGGTGGAGGCGGTGGAGGCAGCGGCAGTGGCGGTAGCACCAGTGGTGGTTCGTCGCGACGTGCTTCAAGGGACTATGACAGGAGCTACGACAGAAGTTATGACAGAAGTTATGATCGTGACTACGATCGCTATGACGACAGAGAGTACAGATCATACAGGTGAGTTGTTTCCCCCGTTGTCATAATAGTCCACAATTAATTAATTAAATTTTTTTATTTTATGGCTATTTGATCATTCAAGCATCCATTACAGCTTCGTTCCACATTTTTACTAGTGTTTAAAGATCAAGAATAGATATGAAATATATATATATAAATAATAAATATTTCATATATTTTTTAATATAATTAAGTTTTATTCCTTATCTAACAATTTGTGACGTCAAAGGTCTAAAATCAAGTGGTTTTGTTTGTTTTTTTCCTCCCTGCAGACGCAGATCTCCATCTCCGTACTACAGCAGAGGCTACCGCTCACGATCCCGGTCTCGGTCCTACTCGCCACGTATGTTTGAACCAGTTTTCTATCATTCGGGCACTAGGTTATATATAAAGTTGATATGACATTCTGATATTTATGTGACCTTCACAAATACTTTAGATTATCCACATAAACTGACATAAATTAGGCTTTTTCAAAAATCTAAATCAAGTCTGTCACTTAATCTCTTACCCTGTCCTCTTTTCTCAGGTCACTACTGATCAGTTAAAGAAGAAGGAAACAGTTCAGTGTTATTGTTCACATGGTTTCTTTTCTTTACTTTTTATGTTTTTGTATGTTTTTGCTTTTGTTTTTAAATCATGCATCTGATTTGAATTCTGGATTTGTTTATGTATTGATGCAGTTGATTTTTCAGTTTGAGCACCAAAAACTCAGCTGTCATTTTTAATAACCAAATTTGTAGGGAAAGTCATGAAACGCAAAAACCTAAAATTTAAGAAAATAGATTCAAGTGAGAATGAGCAGTGCTTTGGATCTGCACCAAAATAAAGGGCTGGTTCTTGATGCTCAGTGCTTTATATAGAAACAAGATTTTTTTCCAGCAGTTATATTATGATTTTTAATTTGGCTGTTTGTATGTAGCTGCAAAGATCCCAGTTTGCTTGTATTTGATGTTTTAAATATCAACTTTCTATTTATTCTTGTTTTTCTGAAAGGTTCTTGTTTGGGGTGTTGTATATAAACAAATGATACTTAAGTCTGCTAGTGACAGTTTGTAGTGTACTGTGATGGCCACATCGCCTCATGGTTTTAGATGCTACAGGAGTTGTACCATGAAGTCCTCTGAAACTGAATTTGATGTGTAGAAAAAAAAATACTGCTCAGTTTTTTGTTTTTTTTCACGCATGCGACCTCAATTGAGTGACCTTCCATAATAAAGTCCTGATTTGTCACATTTGTTGTGTTCTCCACATAATTTGGTATTTTAATACTTTATAAAATGTACATTAGATCCATAACACATAAAACAATACTGATATATTACGAATAAATTTAAAAATGTTAATATCAATACTGCAGATATTGAACGACTACCTTCGGGCTGCGCATGTAGTGTCTGTAATGCTGGTTTCTGTTTTGGGGACAGTTAGAATTTAAATGAAGTTTTGTATAGTCATTATTTTAAGTGTTAAAAGAGTTAAACTGCACTCAATTAAAAAATGGCGCAGCACTACAATTTCCTATGGGATATGTACATGCATATTTATTTACATTATGCATTGGTGGTTATAAGAGTCGTTACGTTATAATTTGGCATTTAAAATACGGAAATTTAGTCCACGGTTCAATTACCTGATTTGGATTTGCTTATCAAAATATATATAAAATATCTTTACGTTTAAAAATACAATTAAACAAGTGGCATCGAACTGGCGAATTTCCATTTCAGTCGAAAATCGTCTATCTCGCAATCTAAAAAAAGAAAGAAACGTAACTTTATTCAGTCTCTCTATTACCCTGCTCTGACGTCATCGCCCAGCTCTTCTGGCCAATCACAGAACTCTCACCGTTAAACACTTCCGGTTTGCTAGGCCACTTGCCTTTCCACCGGAGCGGCTGGTGTGTGCAGTTATCAGCGGAGTGAATACCACGTAGACTACTCGCTAAAAATAGACATTAAGGTACTAAAAGAGTAGTTTTTTCAGCTAATGGGCTTTAGGCCTATTTTTAAATACTGAAAAATGCTGACAGTATTATGTGTCTGGTCAAATATTCTGGCTAACAAGTAGCTAGGACTGCTCTCAGTTAACAACTAGTTAGCTTCCGTTAGCATGTTGTGTTTGAATGACCATATGACTGAAGCTGCCTAAACACGTTTTAAGTGAAGCTAGTTAACCATGAATGACCTGCTTGGTGATCTATAATCCACATGTAACTTATGTCTTTACCGAGATGTCGTTACGTTACAAATAAACCAGGCTTTGTTGAAATGTGTCGACATGGTTTAATGAGTGTATGCAACTTGCAACTCTCCCAGATGCCCCCAAAAAAGGCAGAAGCCCCCAAAGAGGCTAAATTGATTGGACGATTTGGAACCTCACTGAAGATTGGAATTGTGGGATTACCAAATGTTGGGTATGTACATGAATTAAGAAATCCATGTAAACTATGCGTTTACTATTAATTATTCAGGTTTAAGTATTGCAAAGCAGTTGACACCATTCTGACTTTGCAGGAAATCCACCTTTTTCAATGTGCTGACCAAAAGCCAAGCAGCTGCAGAGAACTTCCCGTTCTGCACAATTGATCCAAATGAGAGCAGAGTACCTGTGCCCGATGAGCGCTTCGATTTCCTCTGCCAGTACCACAAACCAGCCAGGTTCGGGCTCTCAGTCCTCACAGCTTGTCGTTTTTGATCAATGGAATTGTGTCCTCAACAATCCCCCCCTCTCTGCCTGTTGTATCTCTTCAGTAAGGTTCCAGCTTTTCTGAATGTCGTGGACATTGCTGGTCTGGTGAAGGGAGCTCACTCAGGACAGGGACTTGGAAACGCCTTTCTCTCCAACATCAGTGCCTGTGACGGCATCTTCCACATGACACGTGAGTTGTCAATACTGCTTCCTGCAGCTGCTCTCCAGTATCAACTGAGCAGAGGAGACAGGTGTTAGAGGGGCAAGTGAAGATACATGATTATGCCTGTGGACCAAGATGATCTATGTATAGCTAGTCACTAATACTTTGTGGTACTGACTTTCAGTTTTTAATTTAATTTAATTTTTTAATTCGGCTATTTTATTGTTGAAACTGATAGTTCCTGATATTATACAATTTTCGACTATTTTATTTGAATAATGGACTTTTTATAGGGGCTTTTTTATTTAGACAGCTTTTAACATTTGAGGACTTGAATGAATGGCTTGGTAGAGAAACATGTTTACATCTCTTCAAGTGATGTATAAAATAAATATAGTTCCCATTTTAGTATTACAACATGTCTATTCTATATAATATCTATTCCGAGCCCCGATTTTAGAGTGAAAGCTTTTACGTCGGTGGTATAACTGTCAGGTATAATAAGACACAGAGCGGGTACAAAATAAGGTATTACCTGGGTGTACATTCTTGTCTTTAAGTCTTAGGGATCAATAAGATGTGTGTTTCATTGTCTTCTGAAGTGTGTATTAATTTGTACCTCAGTAATGTCAGTTTGCAAGGAGTTTTCATTTGATACAAAGCCCTCTTACTGTTTGCACCAGGCTGACTTCCCCTGTCAACGCTTGTGTTTTAGGTGCGTTTGATGACGAGGACATAATCCATGTGGAGGGTAACGTTGACCCAGTGAGGGACATTGAGATCATCCACGAAGAGCTGCGACTAAAGGACGAGGAAATGATTCCGTCAATCCTTGACAAGCTGGAGAAAACTGCCATCAGAGGAGGTGACAAAAAACTTAAACCTGAATATGTAAGTATGTATATATGCTACCTGTTTCACATCTCACATAAAAGAGCTGTTAAGCTGCAATCAATCTGCAGCCCTTATTTAATCTGCTGCCTCCTGCTGCAGGATATCATGTTGAAGGTGAAGAACTGGATAGTAGAGGAGAAGAAACATGTCCGATTTTACCCTGACTGGAACGACAAAGAGGTAACGATGTAATTAGTTTGTGTTTGGTGTAATTAAGGCTGTACCCAATGGCATTTTAATTTTTTTACATCCAAAGCCTCTTCTGTAAAAGCTTTGAAAATAAATGTTAATATAGGATTTGAAAATTCTGAATTTTGTATTAAAATTTACCAGATACATATATTTTTAAGTTTCTGATCCTAAAAAATTAGCTATTTTTTCCAGTGCACAAATAAAGACAAGTGATAGCTGTAACTTTGCGGTCATTACTACGTCCGCAGGTCTCCAGATAAGATGTGCATGATGTCATTAGTAAGGTGCCACCTGATCTATGAGAACTTGACTCATTCATGAGCTGTACCCTTTTAAAATTCTCTCCGCAGATTGATGTGTTGAACAAATACCTGTTTCTGACCTCCAAGCCCATGATCTACCTGGTTAATCTCTCGGAGAAGGATTACATCAGGAAAAAGAACAAGTGGTGAGTTGTCTTTTCCCCAGGGTGCATAAGTACCCGTCCCATGCATTGTTCACGTATCCAGCTAGTTTTTGATCAATCACAATAACTCTGCCCTGCTGCCCGTTCTTCTCAGGTTGGCGAAAATCAAGGAGTGGGTAGACGCTCATGACCCCGGCGCCGTGGTCATTCCCGTGAGTGGATGTGTTGAGTCTAAACTGCAGGACATGGAGGAGGAGGAGAGGAATAAGTACTGCGAGGAAATGAAGACGCAGAGGTGAGCCGTCACCTCCATTGTAGTCATCATTAGTTGTTTTCAGCTAATGTAAATGTTGCTAATTATTCTGGAGTTTTTTCTTGCTATGAAACAAAGTGTCTGCGGTGCAAAAGGCACTTGACTCAACTGGCATTGAATTGTTAATTAAGTCTGCAATGCTGTACAGTTCTAATTGAAGATAGAATAACAGCGTAACGGAAACAGAGATGTGAGGCTTTTATTATCGAATCCTGCTCCATCCACGACTCCTCTCTGTGTCTCTAGCGTTCTGACTAAAATAATCAAAACCGGCTACGCCACACTACAGCTGGAGTACTTCTTCACAGCTGGACCAGATGAGGTGCGAGCGTGGACCATCAGGGTAAGGAGCCTCTTCAAGGATAATTCAGTGTTCATTTCAAAATCCTCTTCATTGTTGTTTGAAAGTGTTATGCACAGTTCCTAATTAGCAAATTTTGTTAAAATAAAGATATTAACATTGAAAATGCATACAATTAACTCTTTTCAGATGGTGCCCTTGGTGTCAAATAATAATATTGTATATTTGTGATGAGTTGTGGGAAAAACAATTTCTTCATCTTGTTTTCTCTTAGGGGGTTACAATGATTTGATTACGTTTCTACACATCAATGCCCTGATGTGTAACATTGGGTGATATTAACATCTTGGAGATTTGCGCTAAGCAATATTCCCGAATTAGAAGCACATTTTACTAGATTTGTAAATTTTAGACTTTATAATCAGAATGAATTACTATTTAGTGATACTGTCTCTTTTGACACCATTGCGATCTTTGTCAGTATATGAGTTAGAAGGGTAAAGCTTTTGTTATCTGTGCTAAAATTCGTCATGGTTGCAGCGTATTGAGGTGTTTTTAAATCTCCTCTGGTTATCTTCTTAATGTTCTGTGATTTGCATCAACAGAAAGGAACCAGGGCTCCTCAAGCTGCAGGAAAGATCCACACTGACTTTGAGAAAGGCTTCATCATGGCGGAGGTGATGAAGTACGATGACTTCAAAGAGGAGGGAAGTGAAAATGCAGCCAAGGTTTGTGTTCTTACAGATCCTACTTGCAAGCGTCTGCTTTTCCAAATCACGCTTTTGAGTAGAAATTTACGTTTGTCCTCTCTTACAGGCCGCTGGGAAGTACAGACAACTGGGCCGGAACTACGTGGTGGACGATGGCGACATTATCTTTTTCAAATTCAACACACCTAATGCACCTAAGAAGAAACCATGAGACGACACAATCCCCAGAGGGAGAACTCAGAATACTGTTAAGTTGGGCCCCAAAGAGCTACACTCATTTTTCATATTCTTCTCTTGAAGTCAGAGGATCAGCTCAGCAGTTATTTACTGAAGTTGCCTTACAGATCCGAATCTGTTGGACTTATTCAATAAAATAAAATTTCTATACAAGCATAGCATACATCCATGCCTATAATATGTGGCACCTTCGTATCCTATTCGAAACATATTCTAGCTTTCGCGGTTGAAACAAAGATAACTGAGCTGAGAAATGTATCATTTCTGATTTTACTCGAAACAACCAATTAAGTAACTTTAACAGAACATAAAATTCACATTGCTTCATAACTGATGCTGGCACTGAACATTTGTTTTTAATATGCATCAGATGATTAGAGCGTGTCCCCTTTTTAAGACAATGTTTGATCCCTTCAACAATAACCGCTTGCCTTTCGTCGATTATTTGACAATTACTGTGATTTTCCCTAGAATTAAAAAAAAACTACAAACTATTTTTGGAATTGATGTTTGCCTTTTCCCAATTCTACTTGGTTATGTTTATGCTATTCACGATAAAGTCACAATTCCTTTTCCAAATCTTGCTCAAAGTGATACATGCGGTCTCTAAACGTTTGACTTGTGCCACGTTAACTATGAAGACGAAATGAAAGCCACTGCCCAGTGTAGCACTGTGGGACAGAACTTCACTGTATTCTGAGGGGACGGATAGTATTGTTTTAGAAAGCGCAACGCAGGCATCCCAGACAATGCAGGATGGAACACTGATCGGATAACTTGCTATACACACTGCTTCTATTTACTTTTGGTTTGGGAAATTTTCATATTAAAGTGTTGACGTTGTGAGCTCCACCTGGTGTCATGAGATGAGACTTCTTGTGAAGCAGCTGAGAGAGTTTATTGTGGATCATCTGGACTGACGCCAGTGTGAATTGTCTTTATTTTCAAAAGCCCACCGACCCCTTCGTTAAACATCTTCAGGAAGATCAAGAATCCTAATGGACGTAGGGAGCCACATTGTAACAAATGCCATCCTCATCAATATGCATGTGTCAATAAAAGGAGAAAAACCTGCCATTGCTTTTTGTCTTTCTACCTTTTCTTCATGTTAGAGTGGGAATGAATGGGGTTAATAGATATCCAAACAAGCTGTTAACTGAATTATCCAACTTAACTGTAATGATGAATAAAGTAAGAAAATAAAAGTGAGAAAAATAACCTGTCAAATCGTATGTAGTGATCACATATTTACATGTATTTTTTATCCTTATTTGAATGTTGAATCAATGGCATTTTAAAGTGACATAATAATCACATCTACTTGAAAAATTCTCTCCACAAAATCCACTTGGTTGCTATCCTGGATCATGTTGACAGGAGAAGTACAAATTGTGACAGTTCCAGTTTTGGTTAATTTATTAATTACATTTGAGTGAAAACAAATTTGTGCTTCAGGTTAAAGGATCGTCATTCGTAGTTGATTTGCAAAAACATTTTCCTTATCCAATGGGAAGGACAGAGGACCGAGGATGTTGAACGTTGTGGAGATTTTGAAGGCCTCTAAAGCAAATTTGTACTTATAATGTGACTTAACAGACACGTATTCAAATGAAAATCTTCAGAGATTGCCACTTTAAAGACTTCTCATACAAGGTGATTTAAACTTTGACATTTGAATTATACTGTTTTGACTCGATATTATTTATTGTCTTGTGAAATTACTTGTCTGGTGGTAAAAATGGAGTTCTGAATTCAACAACTGCATTCCATCTCTTCGCACGCTCTACAACGAACAGGAAACACACGTCCCATAAAAAGAGATTGACATTTCAGTCAGCCAATGACGTCACCCGTACCACTGGCTAAGCCAATTGCCTTAGAGAAGAAGGGCGGGACGTCCTGTAATGTGATGCAAATTCGACGGTCAGGCCTGTTAGTCCCACCTTTTTGTGTTTCCCGCACCGTCAATCAAAATAGAAAAAAATCGTCCCGAATTCACCGATCAACACTAGCCCGCCTTTGATAAAATAATCATGTTTAGAGTTTAGTTTACCGATAATCCTCCCGGTTACTACCACTCACGCTATGACTGGTACGTAAACATTTACCGCATCGAAGCGTGCAACTAATCGGTGAGTTTGTGCAACCTACAGCGAAGCAAGCTGCGTCTTTTTATCTTTTGCGCTGCTGCTAACTAGCTAGATATGGTTAGCTAAGCGAGCTAGCTGGCTAGCGACGAAGTTGACAAAGTAAACAGTCAATCTGGGCCGAAATTGCCACCGAATCTGTGCCGCAAAGTTGAATTTCACAGTCGCCTCCCTTTGGACCGGGGAGTGGGGATGCTTTGCGAGCTTTTCTGCCACGCAGGAGTCGAAGATTACAGAGTTTTGCCGAGTTCCCCCCCGTCCCTCTGCTAGCGCCAGAGCAGCCTCTGAAACAAGGAGAAATGGCGTCCGCGGACGTGGACAGCAGTCAAAGCGAGTTTCTGCAACCCGGTGGCGCAGCGGAAACACAGGTATCCCGACATTTTCTAGCTCGTCTTTTTCGCTCGCTTTCGATTGCTGGTTGTGTTTTTGAGAGCATGGAGTTCACACGTTTTAAATTTTTGATGGCATGGGGTGAAAGCCGTACACTTCCTGTGTTCCCCTCAATAACGGCCACCCACTTTACCCCCGTAAAACCCGCCCATAGTGGGTAGGACGCTGGGAGTCAGTCACTCGGGTCGGCCCGCTGGAAGGCAGCCGCTCGCGCCTCCCGGGCTGCGACAGAGAACCGACCCCGCGGGGGGAACAGCGCCCGAACGCACGGCAGTAGCGTTTTCAATTGTGTTGTAACAGCCGCCCATCCCCCCACCACCGCCGGCTCTCGGTCATTTCTGAGCCGCTGTTGTCGACGCTCGGCGTGCGGCAGCTCCCGAGGCTGCGGCCGTCGCGTCGGCGCGAATCCCCGCGGGAGCGCCGCGCGCCGCCCGTGATTTAATGCTCTCCTTCGATGTGGAAGGAGAATCTCTGCAGCCGCGGGTGGTTTTCAGAAAGCAGCAGCAGCTGCTGGTGGTGCTGCTGCTGCTTTCGTGGGATCTAGTATCCAAAGCTGTGATGGTGCGTCCGGTTGAAGCGTGGTCCCCCCATGTCAATCTGTGTGTACGTTTTGATCCCAGACTACAGACATGTCTGCCATTCAGCTGACGGGTTCCGATCGATGGGAGGTGTTGACGCCTGTCTCCGCCGGGAAGGAGGATCAGGGAATTGTCCACATTCCAAACTCCGGGATTGTCACGTCCAACGGGCAGTACATGCTCCCCATCGGGAGTCTCCCCAACCAGCCCATTTATGTTACAGCGTCTGGGAATGAGGCTGCATCCAACGGCGTGTCAGGCATTCAGTATCAGGTAAAAACATCTTTTTAAAATGGAAGTCGCAAGACAACGCGTAGGATACGCCGTGCGTTGCGTTCAGGCTGAGCTGTCGATTTTAAACTATGGTACGTTCTTCCAGGTCATCCCCCAAATCCAAAATGCAGACGGGACACTCACGGGATTCACGCAGGGACTAGATGACGGCACGGGGCAGATCCACCTCCTCCAGGATGGCCAGGGTGGCATTGGAATCAGCTGTGCCACGACGGCGACCACAGACCTCCTGACGCAGGCGGGGCACGTGCAGTCGATCCAAGGCGTGTCGCTGGCCGGGGGGTCGGCGTACAGCGGAGCAGTAGGGCTGCCCGGCAACATAACGTTCGTTCCGATAAACAGCGTGGACCTGGAGTCTCTAGGGCTGACCGGCGCGCACTCGGTCCCCATCGCCACGGGGGTAACGGCGGAAGGTCAGCTGATCATGGGCGGCCAGACGATGGACAGTCAGGGCCAGGATGGCGGCGCCAAGCAGACGCTGGTGAGCGTCAGCGGCGCAAACCAAGAACTCTACGTGCCAACCACCACGACCTCCTCCAGCTCCTCCCATCTCCCAGAGACCATCGACGGCACCGGGGTCCTGACCCAAGCCACCGCCGTGTCTGCGGGCGTGTCCGACCCTTCCTCTGAGAACTTCACCTCCCACAACCACCTGCAGCAAATCCAGGTCAGTGGGCGTGTCTTTAACGTGTTGTGTGTACGTGTGTTTGGCCTTCGCGGTCTGGGCTCAAAACATGAACAGAATCGCTCACAATATATTTGATTTCTCTTTCTGATGTGCTCTACACGCCTCTGGACTCGTTTAGTCAACACCGAGGTCATGACTAGTTCTGAATGGGCCTGAGAATTACACGGGTTGGTTTAATTGGCCCCGATGTTTTCCACAGTAATGGTTATTAGAACAACTGTGCTCCACTAGTGTCCACGCCATCAGCACTTTGTCCTCGATACCAGATGGGACGGCGGCGAGGTACCCGGGTCATCGACTTATTGATTGATCGACCAACGGCCGTCCTGTCACATTATATCGGCCGCACCATTGCATAATTCAGTTTTAACATACGCATAAAGTAACTGAAGGCTTTTATCATCGAATGCATTTTTTCTTTTTAAAGATGGATGTTTTCCTTGAAATGCTCCATCATGGTTTTTCTGTGTCGTATAATCAGTATAATGTCTCTTTAAAGATTTACTGACGTGTCTTTGGCGCAGAGTCTTGGAAACTGTCAATTATTGACTAGTGGCATTAAATGTCGGATCAGACTTGTAGTCTTGTGTATTCATCATTTGAGTAGAAAGATCCTGGTTTGAACCCTATTTAACGTTTGGGAACGTGGTGTTATTTAATGAATGATGTTGTTTTATGAGAAGAGCCTGATAACGTTCTCACGGTAGCGTTTTGGTATCGGACGTCTTGCAGTGACACTGGTGTGTAGAAATCACCTGCCCTGATGGTGAGGGGTATGAAGTAGACATTGATTTGGTTTAAGGGGCTAAACAAGCCAAAACCTTCAAAAACATTGCTTTAAGACACTGCGTTACCGCGAGGTTCACTTCATTCTGGACCAGCGCGCCTGGATTTGGCGCACAATAAAGAATCGCTGTTCTTTTCTTCTTCGTACAGTGTACTTTGTCAGAATACTGCGTAACTACCACAGAGAGTTCAGGCTGTACTTCCATCACCCTCAGATGTCTTTGCCTGTGGGAAAAGCTCCATGCCGACACCGACGCTGCCCTCTTTTTAACGTTTTGGGTGCAACTTTGTTGTCGTTGGTCTGCAGGTGTCGTCCTCCAACGCCACCACTATGTCGCAGCCTATCCTGCATCTGTCTGGGGACGGTCAGGCTCAGGACCTGAACGCAGGGGGTCAGACTCTCCAGAGTGTGCAGCTGGTCAACCCGGGGACCTTCCTCATCCAGGCCCAAACGGTCACCGCTACGGGACAGATCCAGTGGCAGACCTTCCAGGTAACGTCTCCGGGCCGGCTCGGGAAGTTTGAAATCAACAAAGTGGGCCACAGGAGTCTCGTATAGGCGATATTCAAGCAGTGTGTTTTTTGTTTTTTGTCTGTGAAAGATGACTTGAGCTCAACTCAGCCCATCTCTCTCTCTGTAGGTCCAAGGAGTCCAGTCGCTCCAGGGCCTTCAGTTGCCCCAGGGACAGGGACAGGCCCAGCAGCTGACCTTAGCCCCGGTCCATAGCCTTCCTCTGGGCCAGACAGGCCAAGTCAACCTGCCCAACCTCCAGACGGTCACAGTGAACTCTGTAGCCCAATCTGGAGTTCAGTACAGTCAGGGGGAGGACGCAAACAGTCCAATCGGTATGAGCTGCCCCCCGCACATGCTGTAATTATTCATAGGAAGGAGCAAATCTTTTTTGTCTTGCGTCACTTAGACCCTAAATCTTCACCTGCCCCCCTCAGGCATCCAGATAAAGGAGGAGCCGGACTCTGAGGAGTGGCAGCTGAGTGGGAACTCCACGCTGAACCCCAGCGATCTGAACAACCTGCGTGTTCAGATCGGAGACGATGACATGGACATGCAGGGCGGCGAGGGCAAGCGGCTCCGCAGAGTAGCCTGCACCTGCCCCAACTGCAAGGAGTCCGGAGGAAGGTGGGCCATGTCAGAAAACACACACACACACAGATAGCCCGGAGGCGCTGGTGTTTTTTATTTATTCCGTAAACTCAGAGAAAATGATGCCCATAAACTGTTTTAACTATCATGATTCTAGTAGTAAAGATATCACAACCAAATTATATAGTGTAATTCAATTGCCATTTTAACACAACCACAAAATCTCCCACCTTTCATTTATACACCCAGATGTTGTTCGTTGCAGCAGCTGTAACCAAAAGCTTAAGATGTCTAAAGTTAAGTAACCAGCAAGTCACTTCTGTTTTAAAGTGGTTTAGCTGGTTTTCAATCCTGTTCACGAGGCAGATTCAGAAAACATTCATGTAAATACAAAATGCTAATCCTTTCTTAGCACAGGGACTAAGATCACCAGTGATTTATTCAACATGTATTGATTCAGATTAGCTGGTCGTTTTAAATTGCGTATTTTTAAAATCCATTCATTTTAAAGCATTCATTCGTTGCACAGAGGCTCGGGCATGGGGAAGAAGAAGCAGCACATCTGCCACATCGCCGGCTGCGGGAAGGTTTACGGGAAGACGTCTCATCTTCGAGCTCACCTGCGCTGGCACAGCGGAGAGAGACCCTTCGTCTGCAACTGGATGTTCTGCGGGAAGAGGTTCACCCGGAGCGACGAGCTGCAGAGACACAGGAGGACACACACGGGTGAGGCGATGCTCAAACGACTTCTACAAAGTTTCATTAATATGTGCAAGCCCCCCCCCCCCCCCCCCCAATCGTGCTCTGATGTGTTTCAATGAGACAGTGTGTCCAAACGTGTTTGACTGCTACTGTATGTTTGATAAATCACAACTCCGTACAAGATAGCAGGCGATCTCAATCCTTTCCACTTCCTCATCCGTTTAACGAGATTTAGAGTTAACGGGCTCCGGTTCTTTTTCTTCCTTCATCAGTTAAACAAACAATCCATGCTAGCCTCGGAGACGGTTGCCTCATGACTTTCTGGATTGTTAGATACATTTAATTGAGACGTCTTTAACCTGTTTTAATGTTTGGTGTATTGCTGGACACAGAAAATATTTCTGAGGATGATAAATTTACTAAACTTCTTTATTTCTAAGCCTATAACACATTTGTTTCTTCCATACAAAAACAAGGCAAATGTTTCTTTTTTTTCACAATGATTAAATATACTTTATTAAATATATTTTATTTTTAGACTTTACAGATAAATAAACCAAATCAAATGTCTATTTCCAGCCTTGTTTACATGGAGGTGCTGATCGCCTAAATGAACTGCAGGCTTTGGTTAGATGTGCTCTCCGGACGGCAAAATACGTCACTTTTTCGAAACGATCACTCAGCAGATTCTTTGCTTTTCCGGACCTCTTGTCTAATATCACATATAAACTAATCAAATTGACCACACGTTCCTCAGGTTTTTAAATGATGCAGGAACTGTTTAGTTTGCTCCCGCTCTGCCTGAGGTGTCTGTCTTTGTGACCTCACAGGAGAGAAGAAGTTTGTGTGCACCGAGTGCTCCAAGAGGTTCATGCGCAGCGACCACCTGGCCAAGCACATAAAGACTCACCAGAATAAAAAAGGCATGGCCCCCTCCTCCACGTCTCCGCCCACCCCCGATACGCTCATCACCGCCGACGGGACCACGCTCATCCTCCAGACCACCACCCACGACCTCCTAGCCAATCAGGAGATCCCGTTGCAGCTGGTCACCGTGGCGTCCGGTGAGGTCATGGAATGAGGGGGGGAGGTTTTTTTTTTTTTTTTTTTGAGAACTGGCCTATCACAGGGACCTCTTGGGCTTTTCTCTTTCCCCTCTAACCTTTTTTTTATTTTTTATTTTTACATATGAATATATACGTAAATATATATGACAAATATATATATTTTAAGAGTTATCATGACTTTATGTTTGTTTTTTGCAGTCTTTTTATAGGCGGACAAAAGAAATAACATTTAAATGTGGTCACTATTACACACACACACACACACACGTGCATTAACACAACACTGATATGAATACTCAACACAATGAAATGCCTTATTTTGTATCATAATCTTGTATAAAATGCTGGAGGTGCATGTGTTTTTTAAGCTTTGCAGATGATGTAACTGTAACAGAGATAAATGTGTTTGAAATGGAGATGAGGAGATTTTGAAAGAGAAAAGGAAGTAATGAACCTCTGGCCTGATTTTAACTTTTGTCGCTGGAGAGTTCTGACAACCAGCGCTGCGTAAAAGGAATAGTTCAAGATTTTGGGGATGAATGTTTTCTTTCTGTAAAGTGCGATGAGATTGCCACCACTCTCCTGTTTGTGTGGCAAATGTGTAGCTGCTGGGCTCGGAAAAAGGAAAATATTCTTATCATTAAATAACATGCATCTTGTTTGGGTAGAATATGCAACAGTTTCCTGTTTAAATGGCGTCGGTCATTTTACACACCGAGCAGGCAGGAAGAATCTACACGGAGCGGACAGACGTGGGAGTGTGATCAATCTCATCTCGCTCGTCTCGAGAAAGTAAACATGGTTCCGCAAACAAACTTTTGCTTTTACGACGGAGGCGTCGTGCAGGACGCTCTGCTGGCGGTCGGAGGAGAACGACCGTGCCGCTGTTCACCGATCCGACGTTAAGTGGTTTCCACCTGAAGGAGGCGCGATGGATGCGAGCCGCTCTGAAGGAGGAAAAAGAGCGACTTTTTGTGGACAGAGCGTCTCATCGGTCCTCACGAGCACACCGTCCGCCGTGCTCGTCCGCGTCAAAGTCCTTTCTTTTTAGTTTTTTCATATTTTTGTTGTAAATTCACATTGTATATCAGTTTTCTGTGTCTCTTCACCGATCTGCATGTCGTGTCAGCAGATGCCGCGTGGTGGTCATCGCTTGCATTCCTGCCAGGCTCCTAGTTTTCTTTCAGCTGCAGGAGGGGGGGGGGGGCGCGCGTGAGAAGAGGAAAAACGCATCAAATCATAAGACCCCCGTAGGGTGCTGCTTGGCATCGAACATTCTCGTCGGACACCAGATGAAGTGGGATTAGTTTTGCAATGACGGCTCTGTTGGAAACTGTGGACAAATCTCACTTATGTCTAAAGGAAATCAATCTTGCCATTGTTTTTATTTTTAATTAATGTAATCCTTTCCTCGGTTTGTAGCATTCATTTAAATGTATATTATCTTATTTTCACATTGTTTATAGAAGCCATTACTTAGTTAACTGAATTTGTTGTATCAAAACCTTATTTTAAGTGATTTTTTTTTTTTTTTAAAGAATTGGTGTAAAAATTGAATGTTACCTTTTGTAAAACCTTTTTTCAAATGGATCACAATAAAAGTCTGAAACCTTCCTTTGTAATTTTGTGTGGGTCAAGGGTTGCATCAAGCTATTTGGGGCATTTCAAGCAGAAATATAATCAATCTTATGCTCAGAATGCTGGTTTGTAGATTTGAAGGAAATTCACACATTGAGTTGATCAAAGTATCCAGAGCTTTGGTATCGGAATCATTTTGGTTGGAGAAACACACTGGATCACATAATTGGGGATCTTTATTTAATGAATATTATACAGGATGATCCTGACAAATCCATTGAGGTGTAACCAAAAAAACAAATGTAATGTTTATATAGAGATTTAAGCTTTGTCTTTTCCTTCGTATTCATGCTTCAAACATCTTTCCCTGAGAGTCACAGTGGTATTTGTTATCCACAAGCTCGAGATTCAATCACGGCTCCTGGTTTGGTAGATCGTTTTCACGTCAAATACCAGATGAGTGTAAACATAACCAACAGTGATGCCACTCATTTCTAAATTCCATAAACATTCCCTTTACGTGTTGTGGGCATGAGCCTTTCGTTTTCGCTTTCCAAAATTCTGCTTTCTAGTTTAATTTGGGTAAGATAATAAGCAGATTGATGATTAACACCCGTTTGATTATAAAAAAGATTTTTCCCGGTCCTGGTATTAAGGTGTGAAAATGAAATTGAAAGTAAGATCAATGATTTTTTTTCGCCTCCATATGAACTCAGTTTAAACTATCTAATTGTCCCCTAAACCCATTGATCATTTAGAGGAAGGTTTCATGAGGTCCTCCTCCCTTTGTGCTTTCACCAGAATCCGGATCAGTGCGAACTCATGGGCCGACAAAAAGACAAATATATTCATGATTTGCTCCACAAAATACAGTCTCCCCCACTTGTACAGAAAAACCGCTAAAACCAGATCACCTGAAGCCTCTTCACACATTATAAAAAGGACATAAAACAAAACTATCTCGCTGTGGCTTGTAGCGAGTCGGGCTCTTTAAACAGAGTCCAGTTCACCGCCGCATCGCAGCTGCTGCAGGATCCTCACAACTCGGTGTGAACATCTGGCAGAGAAACAGACGAATGTGTTTGGGTTAGAACAGATGTGTTGCTGCTTTTTACGCCCGTGTGTGTGTGTGTGTGTTGTGTTCAGTACCTGTGCCTTGCTGTATTTTTGTGTTTGGGTTGATTTTCTCCTTGACTTTGGTCTGGAAGCGTTTAATCTCCTGGTCGTAATCGCTCCACTCGGCCACGATCCTCACCGCGGCGTTCAGCTTGGGCTCCTTGGTCATGGGGTTGTTGCACTGAAATCAGGACAATTGAGCCATGTTGTTAGTTTGGTTTGGTAGCGATACACAACCTGCCGGTCACCTCGCACACGGCCCGTTATTCGGCAAACTGTTACCAGGTCTATTGTCTTGGCGCTCTTCTTGGTGCTGTCGTCGCACCAGGTCTCACACCACAGCCACTCCTGGGGCAGCGACTTTATGGGCACCTGGTGGATCATGTTGTTGGGCAGATCCTACAGAAGAAAAAATAAAAGAAGATGAGCAGTGAGAGACGCCTAACCACGAGGAAACGAGCACGTCGGTCTTTTTCAAACCTTTAACGTCATGATATCAAGGTGGAATGTGCAGACCAGCTTTGGAAAAAAAAAGGGTCTATCAAGAGTTTGAGGTGCGAGAGTCAGCAGGCGTACGATGCATTAACGTTACGTGGTCATGTGGATCGGGGACGTCTTTTCTAACAATAACAAAGGTCCTTCTTCAAAAAAACAGCTCTTGGATCTCAGATTAATACAAAGTAAAAGGTTTTCACTACAGTGCCTTCTCACAGCACTGCATGAATAGGCAAAAAAAAAAAAAACGGCCTGCTTCTTTAGAACCAGACCCCAAATGCACATTAAAATGAAAATGTGGACAGCGAAGGAAGAAGACGGACCTGGTCGAGGTTCGAGAGGCTGTTGGGGTCCTGGCTGAGCCCCTGGTACTGTCCTCTCAGGCGATCTCCGGCAGCTATTTTCCTGAACTTCTTCAGGTCGACCACATACAGGGCACTGCAGAGGGCGAACGCCGAATGTAATGAGTATCAAGGTAACAACCATTTATCAAAAAGGAGAGTAAAGGCCTTTTTTTCCAGGGGTGTACCTGATGTGGTATCGGCGCCCAGCAAGGTGACTCGCCCAGTAGCCGGACTTCCAGAAGCGGTAGCCGTCCATCTCCCTCCGGCTCTCACAGAACGGAGTGTAACCGTACGGAGCTCCCTCCAGGTCGAAGTCACGCAGCTCCTTCAGGTCGGTTCGCACAATCTGAACGAGAAAGACGGATGAGACAAGCGACAGATCACGTTGAAAAGTCAATAACAGAAGTCAGTTGCATTTTGGCTCATGAAACAAATCAGATTTGTTGTAATGTTGTTAAACCGTTTACGTCTTGCAATGCAATTTCTTGAAATTTTCAATAGTCCCAAGAAAGTCCAGAAACTGGTTCTGTATTTTTTCACATTTTCTCTTTCCAGCGATCTAATAATAATAATAATAATAATTAAATTATGTCGTTTTTCGAGCCGAACCTGGTCAGCATCCACAAACAGGATCTTGTCCACGGCGAGAGGAAACAGCACATCCAGGAACAGGATCTTGTAGCCCCAGATGATCCTCTGCTTCTCCGTCTGCTGGTGTAACCAGCGGGGCCACTTGTACTGGACCAGCTCATACTGGAAACCATATTGCTTTGCCATGTGGGGGATGAACTCCTGCAAAATGGTTACACACCAAAGGCCTTTCAAGGTGCAGTCGGAATAACTGAACACACAGTAGAGACAGACACAATTGGCTAAATTAAACAAGTAAATGGTCAATACGCTGTTATGTTGTTAGCAGTCGGTCACACAAAAAGTAACGTTTCCTAAATCTGAAAACACCACAAACTACTGCAGGAATAATTCGTAATCAATCTCAAAAGAAGGGAAGAATCATCCAAGAAATTAATTATAACATACTGTAAATATCTAAATAGAGAGCAATCTGTGATGCTTCAATACTGGAGGTTAAATAGATAAACATGTGTTTGCTTGTTTCAATTTACTAATTTAAACTATTTAAATTTACAATCATTTATTTGATTTTATTAAGACCAGCTGTAATTTACCAGAAGCGTTTTGCTACATATACATACAAAATAGAGGGTCGGCCGAACTGTTAAATCTCCTGATTAGCTATTGAAGTACTCCTTCATCAACACGCTCAGAAGAAAGGTTTGTCCCCTGTAATTTCATCCCAACACAAACATCCGACCTGAGCTGAATAGTTTGTTTTAATGGCCTTTAATCTGATATTATTATTATTATCTTTATCTCTGCCAGGACGATCACGTGATGGTCAGATGTGTTTGTGCATTTCTAATCTCACATTGGGCTTCATGCTGAATGGCTTCGTACACAGCCGCTGTGAAACAACCGCCTGAATTCACTGAACTAGAGCTGTTAAGTAGTGAAGTATGGAAATGAGTTGAGTGGGAATCAGAGTTAACTTAAGCTATTTGTTCTGCAGGAAAAAGGAGGCCGACACCTAAAAACAGAGTGAAAAGAAAAGAAAATCACAAAAAAACAGGCTGAAAGTGATGAATGAGCCAAGAAACGGTCTTCTCATTCATCAGGAGTAAAGATCCAATGCGTCCCCGCGTCGTGTCTCACGCTGATTTGAGTGAGAAAAGGACTCCGGCCTTCAGGGACACTGTGCTCATCTTTGATAATAGGCCAGCTAGTTTCTTCACGTTCAAGTTAAAGATCCTACCTTAAACGTCGGTGACAGGTAGTTCTTGAGGAACCAGAACTTGACGGGTGTTTTGGTGTTTTTCAGAACTGACAGCATCATAATCCTGAGAGGAAAGGAAAGACAAAAACACCGGTGGCAACACGACAAGGAGAACAAAGGTGCTGAAACAGAGCTCCCATAAGCAGCACGTTACTTCCCATCTACTCTGGCAGAGACAACAACCCCCCTCTGGTTTGCCCGGCGCTCACCTGAGGAAGCGCTCGTACAGATGCCCCGAGGCCACCGAGAAGATGTTGATCACGTCGTCCTTCTCCTGCTTTAACTCCTCCGTCTTTGCCGCCCCCGTGAACCCTCTGAAGGAAAGATAAACAAAGTGTTCACATTAACACGTTTCCACAGAAGAAAAATAAATCAAGCTCTTTGACAAGAGAGTCAGTGCTCATTGTTTTATTATTTAGTAATCAACGGCACTGTTCCAGAGACGAGGTTTAGTGGAAACTGACTTAGTTCCTCCTGAGACGAGGGAAAATATTGGTTTTCATCTTATTCAACCTCAAAAGATATTTTTAACTAAAGTTACTGCGTTTTTGCCTTCACATTGCAGAGTCAAGTCACCCTCGGGGTCTGATTAAAAACGTCCTTTATTTTGCCGGTTGGAGCCGTGACTGTGCACAAAGTTGATGGCAGCTGTCACTGATCAAACATCATTTAGATTGTTATTTCTGCATATCTATATCAATTTTAAATTGCAGGTACCAATATTAGTGCTGCACTAACAATTCTGTTCACTGACAATGCATTACTTTGTTTGTTAATTCACAAACCAGCTGAAAACATAAAACATATGTTCTATAATGGTACAAAAAACACACATACAATAAAAAGCTTTTATATTTCAGACTAATAAAGAAGAAAAATATTACATTTTCTGAGCCAGAACTAAATAAGTGAGTGATCTGCTCACAGTGACTCGCTCTACCTGGTCAGAGATTTCCAGAAGCCAGCGTCATTTTCCTCGGTCACGTCACTCAGCAGCTCCTCATTGAACTTGTCCGGCTTCTTCTGGACCTGATCAACAATCGGTTATAAACAAGTAAGATGATTAAACAATGTTAAAGTGGAATCCATCCATTAAATGTGGCAATTCAATATCGTCTGGCTGTGATTGTAAATAGGTTTTATTTTTACGATTTTCAAAATGATAAATTGGAAAATAAATCATTAAAGACCTTTTTGGAAAAAAAAAGAAACTTGCTTTGCAACTGCTT